AATGCCTGGTTGACTTGGGCCAATCACCAGGAGACTGGAAGTTCTAGTCCCACCCTTAAGCATGAAAGCTGCCTGGGTGACTTTGGACCAATCACCAGGAGGCTGGGAGTTCTAGTTCTGCCTTAAGCATGAAAACTACCTGATTGACTTGGGCCAATCACCAGGAGACTGGGAGTTCTAATCCCGCCTTAAGCGTGAAAGGCAGCTGGGTGACTTTGTGCCAATTAGAAACTGAATTCTAGTCTCACCTTAGGCACAAAATAAGTTGGGTAACTCTGGGCCAGTCACTCTCTCTCAGCCCTTGGAAGCAGGCCTTGCCAAGAAAACTGCAGGGAATAGTCCGGGCAGTCACACCAAGAGTTGACAATCAGAGACACATACACCCATTGCTCAGCCTATGTCCATTTGTATACTATTCTGATTTGGTATGTTCACTACAGGATCAAAGTCAAGACACATTCATTACCAGGACTTTTCACACACACACACACACACACACACACACACACACACACACACGGATATCCCCATGGGTAACCAGTTACTCCAGACAATAGTGGACAAAAAATTAATAAATTCATTACACCATCGTTCCTTCCTAAATCCTACTATGAGGGATATCAATACGTCACTCGTTTTTATTTCTTGCTTGGAAAATGGCTGATATAAGTGATAGCACACCTGAGGAAGGTAAACACCTCTTACTTACTCATTGATGAGGAGTTACAATCTTCCTTACTGTGTCAACAAGGTTGATGTCAGTACTTTATAGTACGTTTGATATATGCTATGTTTTATAGAAACTCTTAAAAGGGGAACAAGCAAAAAAAAAAAAAACATAAGAAAACCACCTCCGTTTAAGTGGTCCGGCTTCTGAATGTTCCCCCCAAATGTATACTTGATACTCCAGTATTTCTGTTCTGTAATCGCACATAACTTTATAACACAGACTCTGCAGTAAAACTGTTGCAAGACAATCTACAATAAAAATCTACAATCTACAATCTACTTCTAAAATAGAAGTAATTAAGACATCTAGCAGTTGTTTGAAGTCATTATTTTAGCTTTCTTTTTTGTCTGTCTCTCTCTCTCTCTCTGTGTTAGGACTGTGTGAAAGCACAGCATAGAAATGTGAAATGAGAGTGTTGGCCTTTGAAGGGGTGCGAAGTAACACCTGTTTTGGTGTCATTTCCAGGACTGAAGTGCCTGCAAGCTGCATCTGACGTGCGATTACACACACAAAAAAGATCTCTTTGCTTTAAAATGATTCTGGCAATTGGTATTTGCACATTAGACCCATATCTCGGTGAAAACGTGTTCTCTACAATTAGCGTAGGAGCAAATCCTCTTGTCGCTTAGTTGTACAAATTTACATTTGCACTGCTATTAACCATGTAGAAAAAGCAAACATGCTTTTAAAAATTGCAGGTACAGGAAACATAACACGTTCTCCGTAGCTAGATCATGGACATAGAACAGTCCATAAAACGATTTTATACCATACAAAGAGTTCCTCACATACATAATTCTACATGAAACTTACAAATCTTTAAGTCTAAAACTAGTTTTTATGAACCTGCTAATTGTTAATGTTAGATTCCTAGAATGTCTTTCATAAAGTAGTAACCAATATTTTTAAAAGTTGCCACTTTTAGATAGGTTTTACCTGTGAGATCATGTTTAAGTAATTTATTGCTCTGTGAAATGAAATCCACACATTTTTAAGAGTATTTTTATTTTTAACCAATATAAAATATGTTGATACAGATAGTCCTCAACTTACAATCACAGTGAGCCCAAAATTTATGTTGCTAAGTGAGAAATTTGTTTAAGTGAATTTTGCTTCATTTTACGACCTTCCTCACCACATTTCTTAAGTGATTTGCTGCGGTTCTTAAATTAATAACACAGTTGTTAAATGAATGTGGCTTCCCATTGATTTTGCCTGCAAAAGGGGATCAGCAGACCCCGGGACATAGCGACCGTCATAAATGTGAGTCAGTTGTCAAGCACCCGAATGTAAATCAGTGCCGTAACTTCAAATGGTCACTAAATGAATTGTTGTAAATCAAGGACTACCTGTACTTATTTATGTAATAAAAGTATATTTTTCAGATGATCCAACACAACAAAATGTTGAAAATGCCTTTTATTTATCATAGAAGGACATTCTAAGGAGTCTAGATCAGAGCTCTATGGCTGCCATTTTAAATACAGTTATCTATTACATAGCCTCATTGAAGACAGTGGGACATTTGATCCATATAGACAGAATTACATCATAAAAGTAATAAGTCCAACTACTGCAACGTTTTCGTAGTTTTCTTCAACCATTCTCGTAAAGTTTGCCTCTCTGAGCAGGTATAAAATTGGTATTGCAACTTGGGGAGAAAAGAATAAACTTACATTCAAGATTTGAGCGACGCCAATTTAGCCGGTGCAATTTTAATCACGAAGGATGTGCAAAACAGGCTATTTTTGGCAGTCAAAAGAAATGTTGGTTTTCAAGGCAGGGCATCATTAGCAGAGGGGGTGGAGGTACATCTCCCAGCGTGTACAAATAATGAAGCACCAAGATCTACTTGAAAAAGTTTGGCTGTATTTCCAAGTTACAAAGTCTTCGTTTCATGTAGAAAACCAAGCACTTTTGTTCTATTCTATCCATTTCCATCATTTATACCTTACGATTCTCCCCCAATAAGCTGTCAAAAAGTCTCCCATTTTTTAAGTCTGGCTTCTTTTTATTCCATGATGCTATATCTCAATGGTCCAAATTCTAGGCCAGGGGTAGGCAACCTTGGTTCTTTTATGACTCGTGGACTTCAACTCCCAGAATTCCTGAGCCAGCATGGCTCAGCTTGGAAACCTCTCCCTTTCCCCTCAGCATGGCTGCCTCAGGAATTCTGGGAGTTGAAGTCCATGAGTCATAAAAGAGCCAAGGTTGCCTATCTTTGCCCTAGGCCGCTTTATAACTCGTGGACTTCAACTCCCAGAATTCCTGAGCCAGCCATGCTGAGGGGAAAGGGAGAGGTTTCCAAGCTGAGCCAACCTGGCTCAGGAATTCTGGGAGCTGAAGTCCACGAGTCATAAAAGAGCCAAGGTTGCCTACCCCTGTTTTGGCTCACATTTGAATTATTTTTCCTTAAAACGATAATCAGGTTGTGATGAATTGTTAATATACCACACACAAAGATTTACATGTTCTTTTCATATTAAGCTTAATTTTTAATTTGTGCTTCTTCCATAAAAACGCGGCTAGCCTTCATTTCTGACAGAGTTCTGAGAAGGTCTTTAACAGAAGTATGAAGGTAGCCACTATCTGCAGTTGTTTCTCTTTAAAGATGTAGCTGCTTTAAAGAGTCGCAGAAGTCCTGCATTTGTAGTTGAAAGCCCATTACACTCTGAAATACAATATATCCCTCTTTTTCAAATTAACTATCTTATTTATTTGTTCTTTCAGCCTTTCCTGCAACAATTTTGCACTGGGATAATACGGTACTGTATTCTGATAAGTGCGATGAATCAAATTAGCAACCTTTCTATAATCAAGTTCCCGGATTATAAATTTCATCAACAGAAGCACAATATGTGATAAACACTACAACCATTATGGGAACTAACATAGAATCTAAATCTACCCAAGCCTAGAACAGATAGTCCTCAATTTACAACTATTCATTTAGCGACCGTTCAAAATTACAATGGCAGGGATAAAAACTGACTTTAACTGGTCCTCAGACTTATGACAGTTACAGCAACCCCACAGCAATGTGATAAAAATTCTTCGTCCTTGGCAACCAGTATGTATTTACAATAATTGCTTTGTCCGGGGTTGTATGTGATTGTCATTTGCAACCTTCCCAGCCAACGTCCGACACACTCAATGGGAAAAGCCAGTTTTGCTTAATGACTTCAAGATCCAGTTAACAACTGCAAAGATTCGCTTAATAACCATAACAAAAATGATTGTAAAATCAGATTGTGACTCAGTCACTTTGCTTCGCAATAGAAATTCTAGTCCCTATTGTGTTCGTAAGTCAAGGACTCCCTGTATTTTTCCTGACGAAATATTAAGCAACGTTGTCTATGGAGATTCTCGGTCTATCCAGGTCCTGGTTGTCCCAAAGGTGCTTTTTTCCAGAGGCAACTGGAGTTTCTTGTTTTTTCGTTGAAGATGTTTTACTTCTCATCCCAGAAGCTTCTTCAGCTCTGACTGGATAGTGGAGAATGGAGGGATTTATACTTCTTGCAGACAGCTGGCCATTTGCCTTCTTTTAGAGAGTTGTTGAGGCCACTTGGAGGTTTGTCCACTCCCCACCATCCAGTCAGAGCTGAAGAAGCTTCTTGGATGAGAAGCGAAAAGTCTTCAAAGAAAAACAAGGAAGTCCAGTTGCCTCCTGAAAAAGCCCATCTTTGGGATTAAGCAACATTAACCAACAAAATCCCACCAATAAACAATATCTCAGTGGTTCTCAAACTTTTTAATGCCGCGACCCCCAACCGGTCGTAAGTCAAGGACTACCCAACCGGTCATAAGTCGAGGACTACCCAACCAATCGTAAGTCAAGGACTTTCCTTGCCCGGGAGTGCTGCGCATGCGTGGTGCCCCCCCCTGGGCCGGCCAAGGTGTAGCTGGCAAGCGGCAGAGACGGCACAGACCGGCGCAGGCCACCAGCTGGCCCAGCCCAAGGGAGTAAGGCACCCGCCGGGTCCCACGCGCCCCAGCAACCCTCCCTGCACCCGCCGGCCTCCCGCCTCCCACCCCTGGCCTTCTTTTACTTACATTTTTAGTAGTTGCTCAGCAGGGAGGGGTGGAAACTTCCAGACAGCTCGCCTTCGCTGCAGACAACTTGCAGCACCGTTTACAGAATGGGACTTTTGGCGGGCTCAGCAGGGCAGAGACAGCCTGGACAATTCCTATTGGCTTTTGAAAGCCAATAGAATTAGACTCTATTCAAGAGAGTCTATTCTATTGGCTTTCAAAAGCCAATAGAATAAAAGGGAGTAGCACAGCTAAGGAAAAGGGGGGAGGGAAATGGCGGACTGCGTTGTTTGGCGACCCCCGTGAAATGGTCGTTCGACCCCAAATGGGGTCCCAACCCACAGGTTGAGAACCACTGCAATATCTCAATAACTAAGATATTTCAGAACAGAATCCCTACGCTTGTTGCTTATAATAACGTTCTCTTGAAAGATTTCAGTAAAAAGATACCCACGTTTAAAGCTTATTTAAAGTCTACTTACACATCGATAACAAAATTGAGGTTGTGTTGTCTTTACAAAATATTGCATCAGTTCAGTCTGGGAGCTCAAGGCATATAAGGCAAAAGTCTTTCAAAAACATTAATACTGTAAATATTTTTCTCGTACGTAGGAATTAAAGCTTTACGGTATAACCCAGGGGTAGGCAAGCTTGGCTCTTTTATGACTGGTGGACTTCAATTCCCAGAATTCCTGAGCCAGCATGGCTCAGCTTGGAAACCTCTCCCTTTCCCCTCAGCGTGGCTGGCTCAGGAATTCTGGGAGTTGAAGTCCACCAGTCATAAAAGAGCCAAGGTTGCCTACTCCTGGTATAACCAATACAGTACTTGAGGATGAGCGGTTATTTCCTGTGCATTGAAAATGCGTATCTTCTCCTCGCTGGTGTAAATCTAGAGAGTCCACTGCATGTCGCTGAGCTCTGTGGGATCCCCCAGTCCTCCTTCGGCCTCCAAATAATTCATAAGAACAGCCATGGCAGTCTCTTTTTCAAAATCTAACTGAGAAGTGCCACCTACGGATGGAAAAATAAAATAAAATAGCATAAATGCCGTTATTTTATAGCCCACAGGAAAAACGATAATGCCAAAAGGATACTCCATAATTCACTACATCCAGTTTTGGTCACCACAATGTAAAAAAGATGTTGAGACTCTAGAAAGAGTACAGGGAAGAGCAACAAAGATGATTAGGGGACTGGAGGCTAAAACATATAAGGAACGTTTGCTGGAATTGGGGATGTCTAGTTTAATGAAGAGAAGGACGAGGGGGGACAGAATAGCAGCATTCCAGTATCTCAGGGGCTGCCACAAAGAAGAGGGAGTCAAACTCTTGTCCAAAGCGCCTGAAGGCAGGACAAGAAGCAATGGATGGAAACTCATCAAAGAGAGAAGCAACCTGGAACTAAGGAGAAACTTCCTGACAGTCAGAACAATTAACCAGTGGAACAACCTGCCTCCAGAAGCGGTGAAGGCTCCAACAATGGAAGTTTTTAAGAAGAGACTGGACAGCCATTTGTCTGAAATGGTATAAGGTTTCCTGCCTGGGCAGGGGTTGGACTAGATGACCTCCAATGCCCCTTCCAACATTATTATTATTATTGTTGTTGTTGTTGTTGTTGCTGCTGCTGCTGCTGCTGCTGCTACTTATCCGAAGAGATTCCTTCCCCTTTTGGCACGCAGGTAGAGTTAGTCCTCAAGTTACGACCATAATTGAGGCCCACATTTTTGTTTCTAAGTGAGACATTTGTTAAGGGAGTGTCGCCCCATCTGACTAACTGCCTTGCGCAGTTGTTAAATGAATCACTGCAGTTGTAAAGTCAGTCAAGCGGCCATTAAAGAGAATCTGGCTTCCCCCATCGACTTTGCTTGGCAGAAGATCGCAAAAAGAGGATCGTAAGTTTATGCCAGTTGCCAAGCGTCTGAATTTTGATCACGTGATCATTGAGATGCTATAACGGTCGGGTGAAAAACGGTCACTTTTTTCACAGCCGTTGTAACTTCAAATGAACTGTTGTAAGTCGAGGACTACCTGTACGACCGTCGTTGAGCCTGGAATTAGGGTCATAAGTTGTGCTGGAGTGGTTGTTAAGTAAATCGGAATGGAATGGAATCGAATGGAACGGAATAGAACAAAGAACGGAACAGAATAGAATAGAGATTAGGAACAGAACAGAAGAATGGAATGGAATGGAATGGAATAGAAGATTAGGAACAGAATGGAACGGAACGGAACAGAATAGAGATTAGGAACAGAATGGAACCGAACAGAACAGAATAGAATAGAGATTAGGAACAGAACAAAAGACAACGGAATGGAACAGAATAGAACAGATATTAGGAACAGAGTGGAACGGAACAGAATGGAACAGGATAGAATAGAGATTAGGAACAGAACGGAACAGAAGAGCAGAGTTGGAAGGGACCTTGGAGGTCATCTAGTCCAACCCCCTGCTCAGGCAGGAAACCCTATACCATTTCAGACAAATGGCTGTCCAGTCTCTTCTTAAAAACTTCCAGTGTTGGAGCATTCACCACTTCTGGAGGCAGGTGGTTCCATTGGTTAATTGTTCTAACTGTCAGGAAGTTTCTCCTTAGTTCTAGGTTGCTTCTCTCCTTGATTAGTTTCCACCCGTTGCTTCTTGTCCTGCCTTTAGGTGCTTTGGAGAATAGCTTGACTCCCTCTTATTTGGGGCAGCCCCTGAGATACTGGAGCGCTGCTATGATGTTACTCCTTCATAGTCTTTAGCTGAATGTAACTCTCATTCAGCAAACCCATTGTCCACAATGGGCATTTTTTTGCTGGAAACAGAAAATGTCAGTTTCTGGCAAAAAAACCCAACAACCCCATAATCATATCATGTGACTGTGGATACTGCCATAAATGCGGGCCAATCCCCAGGCTCTACGTTGGGTGGGGAATTCTGGGAGTTGAAGTCCGCACATCTTAAAGCCTCCCAGTTTCCAAAGCTCTATTTCTGCCAGTATTACAAGGTGAACGAAGAGAGGCCCAAGAAAAGCTTAGAAAACAATTTTCCAGTTCTGAGTGGGTCAGACTTTAATCGTATGTTATGCAGATGTTTTCTCTCGGCTGGAGCTCCCAGCTGGACGCAGAAGCAAAGTGTTTGTTTCCCATAAAGCATTTCCGAATTTTCAAGAGATTAGGAAAGAGGGAACTTACTGAGAAGAGGCTCATTGTTGGAGAATGAAATCACATCTTGATTTTGCCCTGGAGTCTCTAAATCTTCTATTCCTGGAGGACAAAACTCTGTAAGCTCTTTATTTGGAGCCTGAAATGACATTTTTTTAAAAAAATGAATGAAATCAAATATATGTGTGTGTGTGTGTGTGTGTAGGTCTTTGGTTATTCAGGTTTTCTCCTGCGTCAAATTGGAAGTGTCTTGGCGATGTTTCAACGAAGTCTCATTCGTCATCTTCAGGCTGGTGTTTTTGGCTTCGTGCTTCTAGGAGCAATGAAACAATGAAGCACAAAGCCGAAAACACCAGCCTGAAGATGACGAATGGGACTTTGTCGAAACATCGCCAAGACACTTCCAATTTTACGCGGGAGAAAACCCAAATAACCAAAGACCTACATATATAGTTAGTGAAAAAATGGGTCAAAGACTTGATTACAAAGAAGAGTATCTTTAATTGTCCCAAGTTACCAATATGGTCTTCATACAGATAGTCCTTGACTTACAACGGTTCATTTAGTGACTTTTCAAAGTTACAACGGCATTGAAAAAGAGACTTATGACTGTTTTTCACACTTAAGACCGTTGCAGCATCTCCACGTGATCAAAATTCAGAGTCTTAGCAACTGACTCATAGTTACAATGGTGGCAGTGTCCGAGAGTCACGTGATCCGTTTTTGTGACTTTCTGACCAGCAAACTCAACGGGGGAAGCCAGATTCACTTAACAACGGTGTGTGTAACTTAACAATTGCAGTGATTCACTTAACAACTGTGGCAAGAAAGGTTATAAAATGAGGCAAAACTCACTTAACAAATGTCTCACTTAGCAACATAAATTTGGGGCTTGATTGTGGCTGTCAAGCTGAGGACTACCCGTACTAATAGTGTACTAATTGTGATTTCAAGGCCATAATTCAAGAGAAAAATATACAGGTAGTCCTCGACTTATGACATTCTTCACCAAAATCCATGCTGTACTAGAACAACAATAGTTTATTCAACTTGTAGGCCACCCACCTTGCAAGGACTTTGGGCAGATCACCAGAGTCATGCAAAGAATTGACATAAAATGAATAAAAGATAAAATGGCAAGGCCAGATGGAATGAAATAAGGAGTCTCACTTCCATCAAAGGCCTGGGGGAAGAGTCTTCACCACTCTTCTGAGCAGCGTTGAGTAGGGCCACCTGGATCTTGGAGGAACCTCACTCCAGAGAACTGGCATTACTACAAAGAAGAGACACTTCTGGGATCCCAATAGATGATCTTGTTTAATCAAAGGAACTCAAGAGTATGCCAACTCTACAAGATAAAAATGGTTGGGCAGATATTATGAGAGATAGGGACCAGGTCTGACATTGTAGCAGGGATGAAGTCAGCTGTCTTGCTTGGTCTTCCCTCAATGCACACCATGCAATTCATATTTGTACATCACAACTAATCCGATTCAGAAGTCTGGATCTTGTTATGGATACTCACATCATCACGACTAACATCTAGGACAGGAGAAGACTTCCTTGTAAGATCAGTTGGGCTTAAATCACCAAGAGGCGATGCGTGTAATCTAGATAAAGCAAAACATACTATTTGAGTGTTGTTAAAATATGTATCTCTATCTACCTATATCATTCATCTCTGTCCGTCCATCCATCCATCCATCCATCCATCCATCCATATGAAAGAATCCAATACAATGAAGGTTAAACTTCTAGTTAGAATCTGAGGTTAATACACAAACAGCAACATAAACGTTTGACCTTCTCTATGGATCTTAGGAACAAAAGTGGAGGAGATAAACTGCCAAGTGACCCGGTCAAAAGTTGTCTAGGGTTTTTAAAGCCCTCAGCCATATTTTGAACTTGGCAATTGCTTTAATTCTGGACTCTTGACTGCCAGATTCTTCACCAGCTGCGCTCTCCAGACCAAACCTTGAACTGACCCCCTAAATAAGAAGTCAGTTCTGAATTAATTTCAAGTTCAGAACGACTCTAGAGTGAACCCGATCAAGCTCTTAATCTGATAATTCAGAACAAACAACCAGTGAAATGGCTTGCTTTCAGAAGCAGTGAGTGCTCCATCACTGGAGGTTTTCAAGAAGAGACTGGACAACCATTTGTCTGAAATGGTAGAGAATTTCCTGCCTGAGCAGGGGGTTGGACTAGATCAGGGATTTTCAACCTTTTAACCCATTGTATCACTTTTAGGATATGGCAATATCCGAGTACCATCGGTCGCCTAGCAAGGTGTCAAAAACTTGACCCCCCAAAAAAAGGAAAAAAGTGATAAAGTACAGATAGTCCTCGACTTACAACAGTTTGCTTAGTGACTGTTTGAAGTTACAATGGCACTGAAAAAAGGGCCCCACAAGCCGCAGCCGAGCAAGACACCTGCCTGCCCACCCGGCGGCGTTCTTCCTCCTGTCCGAGGTTTTCATTGTTGTGAGCATTTCTGTTGAGGATTGGCAGCGGGGGTGGGGTGGGGGGGGTGTTTGGTTTTTATCCCCCCCCCCCCGTCTGCTGGGTGGTTGCAGCAGGTTAGGGTCACTTCACATGACCCTGGGACGCTGTGACCGTCATAAATAGGAATCAGTTGCCAAGCATCTGAATGTAAATCACAAGACCCTGGAGAGGCTGCAACATTCCAGCTGATCGGCGCTTCTTGGCTCAGCAGAAGCGCCAGGATCAGTGCTGCTTTCCAGCTGATTGGTGCTTCTTCAGGACTCAGCAGAAGCACCAGGATCAGCGCCGAGCTCCAGTCGATCCTGGCGCTTCCCAAGCCCTGACAGCCCCCCAAAAGCGCCGATCAGCTGGAAAGCAGCACTGACAGCCCTGCAGCTCCAGCCATCTCTCGCTCAGGCTTGTGCGGTGCTGCCACCGGTTCAGCTCATTCCCCTCCCCCGCTACCACTTTTCTGGGATGGCCGCGTACCACCTGCCAGGTGCCAATGTACCACAGCTGGTACCCGTACCACTGGTTGAAAAGCGCTGGACCAGATCAGTGGTTCTTAACCTGGGCGATTTTGTTTTTCAGGGGGGCGAAGGAACGAAAAGGGGGCGATAGGGGGTTGATGGAGCGAGACGTTTTGGGGGCACTTTTGAGTCTTCCCCTGCGGCTCCGAGCCTCCTCCGCCATTTGCAGAGAGAGACAGAGACAGAGAGAGGCACTTGTGCTTCTCTCTCTCTCTCTCTCTCTCTCTCTCTCTCTCTCTCTCTCTCTCTCTCTCCTGATTGGTCCTGTGCCTGGGTGCCCTGCCCCCTGGGAGAAGCGCGGCCAGGAAGTCCCTTTCCCTGGCTGGCCCCGTCCGAGGTGCACGTGGCCGGGGAACTGCGTGGGGAAGCCCCGGGATCCCCGTTGGGAGCAGCCTGCCAGAGCCTCAGCTGAGCGGGCCAGCCTTCCCGCAAGTCGCGGCCCCAAGGGAGACCCAGCTGTCTGGGAAGGCGCACCGGAGTCCCGGCTGCTTTGTCGGCAAAGAATGTGAGGTGAGCAGAAGATGGGGGGGAGAGAAAGGGAGGGGGGAGGCATTTTCCAACCAGCAGCAGAAGAGCCCCCGGCCGGACCCGCGGGAAGAATTATTTCCTATGTTGTGACTGAGATGTTATGTTGGGAGAGGGGGGCAATGACAACTTCCTCATTGGCTCAAGGGGGCGATTCGTTCAAAAAGGTTAAGAACCACTGGACTAGATGATCTCCAAGATCCATTCCAACTCTGTTATTCTATGTTCTTAGAGCAATGGGACTCATGACCCTGGGACTTGGATGGAATTGCTCAGATTAATACTAAAAGGAAGTTTAAGGTTACCACACTACAATTCCAATAAGTTCTCCTTGAAATGAGATTCCAATAGCAACCTAAGGCAGCAAACAGGTCTTTGTTTTCTCATGGTCTTCTTTCAGCGGAGAAGGGAACGTGTTTTTTTTTTTTTTCCTTTTGCAACACTGAGGCAATCTGCATCAGTTCATTGTTCTGATCCCAGCTATTCCTTTTACGAGCATGAGCAATCTCTCATCAAAATAAAAAAAAAAATGGGGAGGTTAAACAACGAAAAACGGGGAAATAAAGAAGAAGCATCGACATCTCTTTTTACATTTACGATAGGTTGCATTTTTTTAAAAAAAGTTTAGATGGCATCCATTTTCTTTTCCAAAAAGAGCAATCCATCTGTAGGACATTTATAGCCAGAACGGAAGAATGATTACTGTACCTTTGCAGATCTAACACTTCATTTGCAATTTTGGTTCCTATGCTACCAGCTCCGAGGATGGTCCCTGTAGATGTTCCTGGTACATCAAGAAATGGTGGCTTTAGGGTATCTGTCGTTTAAGAGAAAATTTGTCTTTTCTAAAATGAAATGTGTCAAAACCAAGAAAAGGATAGATTTGTTTTTAATCTTACTGTACCTCATAGGTTTGTTTTGCATAGGCCACAGGTCGGCAACCTGCGGCTCCAGAGCCGCATGCGGCTCTTTGAGCCTTCCCCGGTGGCTCCCAGCCTCCTCTGCCTTTGCAGAGAGAGACAGAGACAGAGAGAGGCAATTGCGCTTCCCTGCTTCCTCCTCTCTCTCTCTCTCTCTCTCTCTCTCTCTGTGTGTGTGTGTGTGTGTGTGTGTGTGTGTGTGTGTGTGTGTGTGTATGTAAAAGATTGCACTCACAGTGTTCTCCGAGGAGCTGAAAAGCTTTCTGGATGGAGTTCCTCCCTTTACTGCGTCTCTGCAGGAAGCAGGAAGGGCAGGAGAGAGCTAGCTAGCCCAGCTAGGCTGACTCAGGAATTCTGGGAGTTGAAGTCCATGAGTCATAAAAGAGATGAGGTTGCTTACCCTGAGCTTGTTGGACAACAGCTTGAAGCTTGCCAGGTCAGCAGCAGATAGGAGAGAGAGGGAGGGAGAGAGAGAGAGAGAGGAAAGAGAGAGAGAGAAAGAAAGAGAGTGGGGGAAGAGGAGTGGCAGGCAGACCAAGGGCAGATAGAGAGGGAGGGAGAGAGAGAGACAGACAGAGAGAGACCCTTCTGACATCTAAAATGAAGATAACACTGCATATATCCTTTTTTTACCTGTATGTGTATGTATGTGTATATATATGTGTGTGTGTGTATACATACATATACACACACACATACACAGACACAAACACACAAACACACACACATCTATAATAAAGGTAAAAAAGGATATATGCAGTGTTATCTTCATTTTAGATATCAAAAGGATTTTGCGGCTCCCAGTGTTTTGTTTTTGGTGGGAAACGGGTCCAAGTGGCTCTTTGAGTGTTTTGGGTTGCCTACCCCTGGCATAGGCAAACATCAATTGGGAATCTTTATGAGTAAAAGAACATTTCCTTTCAATAAAACTGGGTTCTGACACACAATCATTGGCACTGTTTCAAATTACAATTATGGTTCCTCTTTCCATATATTTTTTTTCTTTACTAAATCCAACTCGGGCGGGAAAAAACCCACCATCCCCCTAAAGATGGACTTGCCTTCTGAAGACAGGGAACCGCAGGCTAGTAGAGTTTCTTCACCCGATTCGTTGTGACCTCTAAAAATATAAAACCAAAAATACACAAATAGGTTTCTCTAGCTATAAGTCCTAGGCTACATGCACAGTTTGCTGCTTCATGTCAGAGCAGTGGTTCTCAGCCTGTGGGTCGGGACCCCATTTGGGGTCGAGTGACCATTTCACGGGGGTCGCCAAACAACGCAGTCCGCCATTTTTCCCCCCTTTTCCTTAGCTGTGCTCCTCCCTTTTATTCTATTGGCTTTTGAAAGCCAATAGAATAGACTCTCTTGAATAGAGTCTAATTCTATTGGCTTTCCAAAGCCAATAGGAATTGTCCAGGCTGTCTCTGCCCTGCTGAGCCCGCCAAAAGTCCCATTCGGCAAACAGTGCTGCACCACCGTTGACTTACGACCGGTTGAGTAGTCCTCAACTTACGACCGGTTGGGGGTCGCGGCATTAAAAAGGTTGAGAACCACTGTGTTAGAGACAAGCAAACAGAAGAGAAACAGGAGTTTCACAAATTATTCTGCAGAAGTAAAAAAAAAAAAAGATAATTTTGTCCCGGCTGAACTAGTCTTAGATTGAAATGGGGGTTAAATTTTTGGATCTGGCTAGGCTTATAATCTGTTTTGGACTCAATTGCCACTGCTTACTAGATAATTAAATGCCGGAGATTCAGTTTTATGTCCCTTACAAAACCACATCATGTGATCCTAGCCCTATTTTCTGCATAAACTTTTCACCTAGGTGCTAACTCAGCATCTTTGAAAGTCCTTATTCCAGGGCTGACTTCTAACATCTGTGTAAACTTCTGAATACGTAGTTTCCTCCAAGAACAACAACTATATTCTTTAATATAGGAAAATAATTGCTAATCTTTATTTCCCTTTTCACTTGTGCAACCATCCAAGAATGATTGAAGCAGCCAGCTCCAAATATTTTATTTATTTATATGTATTCCATCTAATTTTTTTTACAAATAATAATTTATTTTCTCCTCCTATATTCTCCAAAACAGCAATCCTATGAGGTAAGTTGGGCTGAGAGAGAGTGACTGGCCCAAAGGCATCTAGCTGGCTTTTATGGCTAAGGCGGGACTAGAACTCAGGCATAGCTAAGGCGGGACTAGAACTCACTGTCTCCTGGTGATTGGCCTAAAGTCACCCAATGGGCTAAGGCGGGACTAGAACTCACTGTCTCCTGGTGATTGGCCTAAAGTCACCCAATGGCTTTCATAGCTAAGGCGGGACTAGAACTCACTGTCTCCTGGTGATTGGCCTAAAGTCACCCAATGGCTTTCATAGCTAAGGCGGGACTAGAACTCACTGTCTCCTGGTGATTGGCCTAAAGTCACCCAATGGCTTTCATAGCTAAGGCGGGACTAGAACTGAAAGTCTCCTAGTAATTGGCCGAAAGTCACCCAGCTGACTTCCATGCTTAATACTATATAATTAAAATATAAAATAGAGCTATATAAAAATATGTTGTTTTATAAAGAGTATCGAGAAACTTACAAAGCAACGGTATTGATCGACACAATGTATTCCAGTTCTTTGGTCCATGGATTGATGAAGCTAAACCACTGACTTTTTAAGGTGACAAAGGAGCCGTTTTTCGCTTTGAATTTGTAGAAATTGGTAAATATTTTTTCTTTGCTCTGTAACACTGTGGAAAAATAGATTTCACAGAAAAAAAGTTATTCAGTAAAACCAAGGTTAATTACTGTGTTTACTAAACGAGGCTTACCGACAGGGCAATTTCACGATTTTTAAGAGCTTTATTAAGTTCTCTCAGTTAATCCATTGTACCGATCACACTGATTTTGATATAAGAGTTGGGAAGAAATTGACCCATCAAATCCAAAATTCAGCTCCAGGTTTTTGCCAGCCAATGGAAGGGGAGATTAAAAGAGTTCCATTGTTTTGCTACGATAACTTTCTAACGCTTAAAAATGTGTCATGATATCCGAGCAATCTGATATGTTTGATGGATTTGTGTTAAGATTTGGATCACAGCTCTATGTTCCGTTCAACACACCCACAAATTTTCCTTACAAACCTATGCATTGTGGAGACCTTGTCAATCTGTCCATCTGGATATGCGTAATTATCTTCACTTTAGATGTTTTGGAACATAATGAATAAAGCGGAGAAGAATTAAATTCTAAAAGGTAGTCCTCAGTTTAAGACTACAACTGAGCCCAAATATCCTGTCACTGAGAAAACTCACTGTTAAAGTGAGTTTTGCCCCATTTTACGACCTTTCTTGCCACAGTTGTTAAGTGAATCACTGCGGTTGTTAAAACAGTATCACGGTTGTTAAATGAATCTGCCTTCTCCATTGACTTTGCTTGTCAGAAGGTCGCAAAAGGGGATCACATGACCTGAGACAATGCAACCGCCGTAAGTACATGCCAGTTGCCAAGCGTCTGAATTTTGATCATGTGACCTTGGGGATGGTGCGATGGTCATAAGTGTAAAAATCATAATTCGCCTTTTTTCAATGCCGTTGCAACTTTGGACAGTCACTAAATGAATGATTATAAATCAAAAACTACCTGTATTTCCTTTTGATAGGCTAAACAACTGCAGAGTTTCTTTGCCTGTGTTAAGAACTATTATATGGAAGACAATTCTGCCCAGAACTAAGCAATCCATTGAAATCTTTTTACAAATCCAGTGTACAAAGTGGTACATGCTATTTATTAAACCAGTACATACTAAAAGTTCAGAAGCTTCATAGCAAATATTTATTCAAGAGTTCTACACTAGAGTTAAGGAATAGGAGCTGTAGTGTACCTGTTTTGTGTTTTTCAGTTAGATGATTGTGGTCATCCTGGTGGAAATATTCATAACAAGATGTTCCTAACAGTTCTTGGGGTAAATATCCTAAAATTGCTGTTGCTCTGTATTGGGAAATATAAACATAGTATAATCTACAATCTTCTAAAATTAACTTTCCACAGTTCAGTAGCTTTTTTTGTAGTATATACAAAATAGAAAACACGTAGGAAAGAAAGGTGATCTGATCTGGTGAAAGACATACTTCCCCCCCCCCCAAACACACACAACTTTGAAATTTTTATAACGTCTAATCTTTACAATCTTATAAGAATAACTTTAATTAACTAGAACGTTTTGGTTTTCATTAATTTTTTACAAAATTTAGAACACACTGGATACAGTGTTGACCTGCTTTATTGTTTTATATTGCCAATACTTTACTAGAGGTATTATAGAAAATAGAATTCATATTCTAAATATTGAAAACCTTAGCCAAGTGCATTCTAACCAAGGGCAATAAGACAAAAATGCTTACCGTTGATCTACAAACACAAATTTTCCATCCATGGCAAAGCGGGTTACAAATTCTGCTGGCTTGACTTTAATCTCAATGTTTTTTTGTGGAATGGTGTAAGGGTGCAATCGGCCGATTGCCACAAGACAATTAAAATTGCCGCTCTCTTTTTCTGTATCTTCTTCAATTCCCACTTCATTTGTGGGCCAGCTTTTCAGATAACCAGTGCAATGAATGGTACAGTACTTTTTATGATCTAATGGAATCAAAACAGAATATATTTTTTTTATTTCAATTTTTTTTTTCCTGAGAACTACTGAGGGTAGCAGGAGCAGGAAATTGATGCAAAAGGCCACAATCTTTATCAGTAAGATTTGTTTTTAAGCATTATTCAATTTATTTGATCTATGGAAGTGTCTTTCTAATTCAATTTATTTGATCTATGGAAGTGTCTTTCTAATTTTACAAAAAATCGGGGTGCGCATATACATAAGCATACATGAGCCATGATGGCGCAGTGGTTAGAATGCAATATTGCAGGCAAACTCTGCCTGCAGTTTGATCTTCATGCGCTCAAGGCTGACTCAGCCTTTCATCCTTCCAAGTTCGGTAAAATGAGGATCCAGATTGTTGGAGACAAAATACTAACTCTGTAAATTGCTTAGAGAGGGCTGTATGAAGCGGTATATAAGTCTAAGTTCTATTCTATTCTATTCTATTCTATTCTATTCTATTCTATTCTATTCTATTCTATTCTATTCTATTCTATTCTATTCTAAACTCTAGTCTACTCTATTCTATTCCATGATGGTGCAGTGGTTAGTATGCAGTATTGCAGGCAAACTCTGCCCACAGCCTAGAGTTCAATCCTCACCAGCTTAAGGTTGACTCATCCTTCTATTCTTCCAAGCATGGTAAAATGAGGACCCAAATTGTTGGGGGGAATAGGCCGACATTGTAAACTGCTTAGAGAGGGCTGTAAATCACTATGAAGTGGTATATAAGACTAAATTCGATTTCTACTTCCTACTTCTATTGCCGTGGTGGCGCAGTGGTTAGAATGCAGTATTGCAGGCTAACTCTGCCCACTGCCAGGAGTTCGATCCTCAGTGGCTCAAGGTCAACTCAGTCTTCCATCCTGCTGAGGTGGGTAAAATGAGGACCCAGATTGTTGGAGGGGGGGGGGGCAACAGGTTGACTCTGTAAACCACTTAGAGGGGGCTGTAAAAAAGGGGTCCCCAACCTACAGTTCAACCTTTAAACACATCATAGTTCATCAGGATTGCCAGTTAACTGGTCTGAAAGAGAACCGGTTTTTATTTCAACTATACCTTTCTTTTTTGAGTTTGACAAGGACTCCTTCTCCTCCTTGACTGTGTTTTTTGTATACTTCATGCGGCAAAAAAATGAACGCCGAGCACCAGAATGCAGACAAGAAGATCCCGCTTGGAAATCCACACGAACTTGCAAACCAGCTTTTCAAGTTCCATCAGAGCAGAATATACAAACATATGTTTGTAACAGAGTCATGAATATTTTGCCACATTAATTCGCTAAATCAAACTGTTTATTGACAGTCCCAGACCAACAAAACATAAGCACCATTTAAAAAAAGAAAGAAAGAAAGAAATAGAAAGAAACCAGACCATAACAAGAGAGGGCTATTACCCAGCGTCTGCAAATTATTGCTAGAAACTTGGTAACTTTCACAGTAGTTGTCTAAGTTAAATGCAGGCCAGTTGGCAAGCATCCAAAATGTGGTCACGTGATTGGGGAGGGGCAACTGTCAGAACTTAGGAACTAGATCATAAGTAGCTTCTGGGTGGATTCACCATAATTCAAGGACCACCTGTATGTCAGGACTTTTCTACTAAACTGATACACTAGAGCAGTGGTTCTCAACCTTTTTAATGCCACGACCCTCAACCGGTCGTAAGTCAAGGACAACTCAACTGGTCGTAAGTCGAGGACTACTCAACTGGTGCAGCACCGTTTACAGAATGGGATTTCTGGCGGGCTCATCAGGGCAGAGACAGCCTGGACAATTCCTATTGGCTTTTGAAAGCCAATAGAATTAGACTCTATTCAAGAAAGTCTGTTCTATTGGCTTTCAAAAGCCAATAGAATAAAAGGGAGTAGCACAGCTAAGGAAAAGGGGGGAAAAATGGCGGACTGCGTTGTTTGGCGACCCCGGTGAAATGGTCGTTCAACCACAAATGGGGTCCCGACCCACAGGTTGAGAACCACTGCACTAGAGCAAAAGAATGTAAGAAATGGGTTTAACTTTAAGACTTGTGGACTCCACTGGCTGAGGAATGCTGGGAGCTGAAGTCTAGAAGACTTAAAGTTACCATGTTTGGATTTAGAATAAACACAGTATTCATTTCCGTACTCTAAAACATGCACGTTTCCCTTTTTTTTCATTTCTATCCAGAAGCAATCATATATGTGAAATTTGGCTGATATACACTGTGGGGAAAACATAGCCATGTCTTATTAATGATTTTTAACTGCATACTTACTTTTGGTATCTATCAGTTTTTCTCTGGGTGAAGCATCTGAAGAGGACAGCTGTTCTTTTACTTTGGCAACATCCTTCGGGTGAAGATAATCAAAAAGACTTTGACCAATCAGATGTGTCTGATGGAACACACCATGATAAGATTATGACCCTACTTTGACCATCTTATTCAAACAATCAAATTAAAACACAAAGAGTCTAATGTTTGAGCGATGAAATAACTTCATCACTGTTATCATCTTTTCAATTCAGTGGAAACATTTGTTCTTCTAGGCCCTTTTTTAATAGTAGTAGTAGTAGTAGTAGTTTTATTATGATCACAGAACAGGAGTAGAATAGAACAGAATGTAGAATAGAACAGAATGTAGAATAGAATAGAATAGAATAGAACAGAACAGAAGATAGGATAGGATAGGATCGGATAGGACAGGACAGGACAGGACGATAACATTTATTTATTTATTTATGAGACTTATATACCGCTTTAAGTGCAAGCACTCTCTAAGTGGTGTACACCAGTAAGCAATGTATATATATATATTTACATTGCCTCCAACAATCTGGGTCCTCATTTTACCTACCCCGGAAGGATGGAAGGCTGAGTCAACCTTGAACCGGTGAGATTTGAACTGCTGACCTGCTGAACACAGTCAGCTAAAGTGGCCTGCAGTACTGCACTCTAACTGCTGCGCAATTGGTGGTGACTGTCAATGGACAGTCAAAGTCTGCCTAATTAAGTATAACAAAATCTAGCTACATTCAAAGAGACTACCTCTGATAACAGCAGTTGTACATAAAAAAAGATCAGTGTTTCCCGGGTATTTTATCAGGTGAGGATTTATGAGATGGGTCTGTGAGTCCTCATAGAAGGACAGTATAATATTGTTTCAATTAAGTAGAAACATTTTTTCTAAGCCCTATTTTAAAAATCCTATTTCAATCATTGCACATCAGATACTTCCATGCTGTAACAATGAGTACTGGGGGCCCCTTACGCAAGTAACACATTTCTGATCCTGACCCAGTTGCCCACCTCAAGCAACCTAGGTGACATTTTACAGCAAATCCAAGGCTATTGATGGAAGGATTTTAAATACTAGGCTACCTACGGGATCATAATTAAGTATCTTGGAAACAGATTCGGAAACAAACAGGATTTTTCCTCTGTCGCATCCAACCACAAACAGGAAACCATCGGCAGCCTATAAATTAAGGAGATAAATATAAGACTGTAATGGATACAGGCAGGCAGCTCTGTAGTTAGAAGTCAGGTCAGGATAGAGGAAAACAACATTAAAACGTTGATAATATTTTCATGAGTATTTAGGGGGTCAGGAAAACTTAAAGAGAAATCAGCACCATGAATATCGTTTTGCCCTGAAGACAGACCCACAAATAGTTGTGATATTCCCTTCACCTCCTTTTAGCAAGAAGGGTTTTGCTCCACCCAGTCACAATCACAGGAATTTGTAGGCTATGCCAGGGGTAGGCAACCCTGGCTCTTTTATGACTCGTGGACTTCAACTCCCAGAATTCCTGAGCGAGCCATGCTGAGGGGAAAGGGAGAGGTTTCCGAGCTGAGCCATACTGGCTCAGGAATTCTGGGAGTTGAAGTCCACGAGTCAGAAAGCGGCCTAGGCCTAGGCCAGAAGTAGGCAACCTTGGCTCTGTTATGACTCGTGGACTTCAACTCCCAGAATTCCTGAGCCAGCCACACTGAGGGGAAAGGGAGAGGTTTCCAAGCTGAGCTATGCTGGCTCAGGGATTCTGGGAGTTGAAGTCCACCAGTCATAAAAGAGCCAAGGTTGCCTACCCCGGGGCTATACATTTGCACTGTAAGTTCCAATTCCAAAATTGTGGAGGTTTTTGGTGGTCTGTGAGTTTGGCACTTTGCTTGAAGATGTTTTATTACCCAGCTAGGTACCATCATCAGTGCAAGCAGCAGCATAGCCGTTCAACGTCTAAAAGAGATTCGCTTTCAGTAGATTCCCAATGTTTCCTTCCCTGATATGCTGGTAGTCAGAATTAACCTTTCATTCTTCTAACCCCAAATACTTTTAACAGGACTAGAGGTGACATGATAGCAGTGTTCCAATGTTTGTGGGGCTCCTACAAAGACAAGGGGGTCAACCTATTTTTCCAAAGCACCTCAAGGCAGGAGAAGAAGCAACGGACGGAAACTAACCAAGGAGAGAAGCAACCTAGAAATAAGGAGGAATTTCCTGACAGTGAGAACGATCAAACAGTGGAACGGTTTGCTTTCATAGGTTGTGGGTGCTCCATCACTGAAGGCTTTTAAGAAGAGACTGGACTTGTCTGGAATAGTATAGGGCAGGGGTAGGCAACTTTGGCTCTTTTATGACTCGTGGACTTCAACTCCCAGAATTCCTGAGCCAGCATGGCTCAGCTTAGAAACCTCCCTTTCCCCTCAGTGTGGGTGGCTCAGGAATTCTGGGAGTTGAAGTCCACGAGTCATAAAAGAGCCAAGGTTGCCTACCTCTGGCCTAGGCCTAGGCCGCTTCATGACTCATGGACTTCAACTCCCAGAATTCCTGAGCCAGCACGGCTCAGCTTGGAAACCTCTCCCTTTCCCCTCAGCGTGGCTGGCTCAGGAATTCTGGGAGTTGATGTCCACGAGTCATAAAAGAGCCAAGGTTGCCTACCCCTGGTATAGGGTCTCCTGCTTGAGCAGGGGGTTGGACTAGTAGACCTCTGAGATCCTTTCCCATTTTATTATTCTGTATGCTAATTTAACACATCCTAAATTTCATGCAATGGTCTTCATCAGCTATAAATCAGCCATTTTTGTTTTGTCGCCTTGCAATCTCAGAAAGGGGATTATAGCTCCTAAACTTTACAGCAGAGGTCTTCAAACGTGGCCCTTTTATGGCTTGTTTGAAGACCCCTGCTTTATAGACTCTGGGCTAAATCAGAATTTAGCCACCCTAGAGTATTTATAGATTTTATTTTATCATCGTCACTTTCAGTGCTATATTTTAAGCCTCACGATTGCTACGTGTTATGCTACGTGTGCTCTGCGCTTACTGAAATAAATGCTTTGGGATTCTGATTCAAGCCAATCATCTTAATTACTTACTTACTAAATAAGGATCAAGTTCTGAAAGACCAGCCAACCTCAGTCAACATTTTCACGTCTACCTTTGTTATTGGTGATTTGAATTACCTGGATTTAATAGCAACCTTTTTTTTAACAATGCTTGACATGATTTTCCAATGTACCCTAGCTGAAATTTGTATCAAGAAGATAAATCAGTCTGATCACGTATGTACTTTAAATACCACACATTGCATCTGCCTCGTTTCCTTAATTTAATATTAAGTTCATTTATTTACTCCTTAAATGGTGTTAAAATTTAAACTAAAACTAATCTGTGACTTAGTCTAGCTCATTTATTTATTCCTTAAATAGTATTAACATTTTAACTAAAACTAAAACTAATCTGTGATTTAGTCTAGCAAGCAGCTTACTTAATTCCATTCGACTTACATCATCATCTGAAAACTTCTAAAGTCCCAGTTTGATGCAACATCTATTTTAAGTTTTGTATTAGAATAGAGGAGTACAAATTAAGACATTTCAAATGTGAAAACATCCAGACTGGAGTTTAAAAAGGGTTGTCCCAAGTTCAAAAAATGAAGTATTGCAATATTATTCTGCCTGCAGCTGAAGTATTCTTTTAATGAAATACTTTTCACGTTCAGAGTATTTCCAGATACAGAATGGAGCCATTCTGTATCTGGAAACATGCTCCTAAGGAGCATGTTTTGAGCTCAAAAAGGGAAATTTGCACATCTCTGTTTATAAATAGTCTTAAAACTGGGATGCTGAGTATGCAGACATAAACACTATTCTATAGTACAGTTGGAGGTCTGTGTCTCCAACTTTAATATACCTTAAGAATGAGCTGTTGAAGTTCATTGTCTTGTAAAAATGAAGGCTTATACCTAACTTCTGAGTAAGAACCGGTGGAACCTGCAAAATACTCGTGAGAGAAAATTAGAGGGAGAGAGGGAGAGAAGGAAAGAAGGAAAGAAGGAAAGAAGGAAGGAAGGAGAAATAGAGCAGAGAGGGAGGGAGGGATGGAAGGAAAGGAGAAGGAAGGGAGGGCAGGAGGGAGGAAGGGAAAGGAGGAGATGGAGAGGAAGGAAGGAAGGAAGGGAGAGGAAGGAAGGAGGGAGGAAGGAGGAGATGAAGAGGAAGAAAGGAAGGAGAGGAAGGAAGGAAAGAAGGAAAGAAATAGAGAGGAAGGAAGGAGAGGGAGGGAGGACAATTAATGAAAATAAATACACAACACATGCACTTAATACAACTCAGAAGTAGCCTTCTAAATCCCTTTTCTTGTAATGATCGCAATAAAGTTAAATTAACATAAAACACTTTTATGGAAAACCAACATGAGATTTTTACAGCAATTTATGCACCAAACCAAGAATAAAACAGACAGGGTGATGTAGCAAAAGGAGTTCCCTTCCAACAGTTGGACAGGATGAAAGCTGCTACCGTATTTCATTAGCAGCAACGAGCCGATGCCAAGATTATTAAAAACTGAGTAACACTCACTGCAAGACGAGTTAAGTATTGATCAATTCTCCTCGGCACAATATCGGTAGAGTACGGGAAGCACTATTTTAGCTTTCACCATCTGAACTGGATTGATCACCACATCGACTTTAGAACTTTTTATAAATATGGAGAAAATAATACCGGCTGCTAAAAGGACAGCTTTTGAATCACCCCGTTCAGAATTTTGGATAGCTTTTATTCTTGCCTTTCAGTGACTTTAAATGCTGCACGGCCATTCTTAATACCGTAAGCTTATCCAGCTTACGAGCCCCTGGACTGCACTGAGGTATCATAGCGGATAATTCTTCTATCAGGTTATTCATTTTGTCTCTTCTCCTTTTCTCTGTCTGGCTGTGAGCCTCTCTGGTGGGAAAAAAAGACAAAAAATAAGTATTTCCCTATTTAAGGTATCTCTTTCCCCACACCACCAAAATATTGTTGACCAGCTGCTACCAAGAAACCCATGTCTTCTTTCATTTTTAAGTCATTCTTAGATGTGAAACTGAAAAATATCTTCCAAAGCTCAAGTGTTTATATAAAAAATGTTTTAAGCTATGCCAGAATAACAGAATCAATGAAGAATAAAAATAAGAGGAGGAGGAGGAGGAGGAGGAAGGGATGAGAAGGAAGGGATGAGGAGGAGTAGAAAGGGATGAGAAGGAGAAGAAGAAGGAGGAAGAGAAGGAGGAAGAGGGAGAAAGAGGAGGAAGGGATGAGGAAGAGAAGGAAGGGATGAGGAGTAGAAAGGGATAGGAGAAGGAGAAAGAGAAGAAGGAGGAAGAAGAAGGGAGGAGGAGGAGAAGGGATGAAGAGCAGTAGAAAGGGATAGAAGGAGGAGGAGGAAGAGAAGGAGGAAGAGGAGAAGGAGGAAGAGGAAGGGAGAAGAAGAAGGAGGAAGAGGAGGAGGACAACGACGACGACTGTGGGGTCCTTGGTGCTCATCCATCAATTTTTTTTTCAGTGAGAATCAATGAGACAGAGAGGAGTTGAGTTTGGCGCAAACTGAATTGGGTTATTTTTCTGAATGATCAAATCAAGATTCTGAACCAAATCCTGTAAAGACCGCCAGATCTTGCCAAATACTTTGAAATCCAATTTTAATAGGACTCCACAATAAAAGTAAAGTGGAAATTACATGGGATGGTTCAGAATTTATGCCATTAAACAGATTTTTGCAAGAAGACATATCTTGTTTATATCACAATACCCAAAATTAACATTAAGTTTTAATTTTCCTTGGAGAAATAAATTATTGTCTAATTTGCAGTACCTGAAATACTTAATTTTCACATGCTCTTCATCTTCACTCCTAGGAAAAGGAAGGATTAAAATTAAATACAATGCAACTGGATAAACCTGGAAATAGATTCTACAATACTATACTGCTTATTACAAAAACGCTCCTCAAGGCAGGAGCCTTGAAACACTTGAAATAATCTATCCACTTCAATGAAAACAGGATCATTTTTTTTCAAAAAATAAGTTGTTATAAGCATATATATAAATATATATATATATAAATTTCCTCAGATATTCTTCTCCATTGATGGAAAAAAAGTGTCTTTATATTTATATCAATGAAATACAAATGAGATATTATTAATTATTGTGAATAATCATTTGAATAATTATTAAAAATGGAAATATGATTAAAAAAATTATGGTAGCTGAAAAGTAGTTTAATTTTAATTAAGAGTTGGAGAATAACCCGAATCTGGAAATGCACAGAAATCTCAACCATTTACAATATGCAAGTAGTCCTTACAACTGTAATACAGCCCAGAATTATAGTCGTAAATAATGCTAGTCATTAAGCAGGTCATCTATGACTGACCCAATTTTATTTAAATTTTTTTTGCAGTGGTAGTTTTGTCTGCAATGGGCTTTTTTTTTGCCAAAAAACAGAAGTAAATGCTGATTCCTGGCAAAAAAAATATATCATAAATGTGTCCAGTCGTAAATTAAGGACTTACTTGTTTCAAAGTTTCCTATTTATAAAATTCAACTATGACTACAGTCATTTCAGACAATCATTGTCAAATGTAACTGTAAAAAGTTGGTCGTGAAATGAAATTTGGGAGTTTTTCACATCTATATTTGACTTAGTTAATCATTACTTCTTCCAATTGACTAACTTCCATTTAACTTGTGTTTGTCTGAATCAAGTACACTGCAAATTGTTTTGGACTTGGCTTGTGTGAGCATACACCAATTAGTTCTAAAGTTCTAAACAGTTGGGCTGGCCAAATTAAAATAGTCAGTTGTTGTCTAACTATGAAGGAAGATGCTGCCTAACAATTTTAACGCGTGTTTTGAAAACTTCTAAGCATTTCCAGTTCATCTAATAGATTTTACTTAATGTTCTGTATAGGCCTAAACACAGCCAAGAAGATAAGTTTCATCTCTCTTTTTCTTGTTTGTTTTATTTTTGATAAAACATTCTACCTGCTCTGGAGATCATCGGCCTCAGTATCACAGGTATATCTAGGGAAAGAGAATTTAAATTAATTAGAAGACATCCAAAAAATGAAAAATCAGTATAACCAAAAATAAACCATGATCTGAAGATGAACTTGTAGAGCAGCGGTTCTCAACCTATGGGTCGCGACCCCATTTGGGATCAAACGACCATTTTATGGAGGTCGCCAAACAACGCGATCCGCCATTTTTCCCCCCTCAGGGGGTCGCCGTATAAAAAGGTTGAGAACCACTGTTGCAAAACCGACCCAGGATATCATTTAACAAAAAAGTAAATATTCACTTACTGAGTATCAGAGTCGCTCCCTTTTCGCTTTCTAGGAAATTCCACCGTAAATGGATTTATTGAAGGGGTCACGGGAGACATAATGTTTGAACCTGCCAAAACAACAGCCTGGTTTCCTTCCCCCGGAAGATTATCTGAAAACAGACAAATAGCATCCAAGTTGTAAGAGGAAGGACTGCGGTTGAAATTAATTTGCTGAACTACGAGGAAAAAGGAATTATCTATGTTGTTATTACAGTATTTATTATGGTGCCTCGCAAAGTCAGCCAGCCAGATGTTGAGACTAGATTTGGCATTTATCCTATCAATTCCCAAGGGATTTGGGATAGATATTGATGTCTGATGATGTTAGAGGTGTCCTTGCAGTTATTATGATTTACAGGACAATCAGCCAGATGTTCGGAGTGGATTTGGCATTTTTGTCCACCACCTATCAAGTCCTCCCCAAGGACCTGGAATAGGCAGATGGGGATGTTTGATAGTGTTAGAGCAGTGTTTCCCAAACTTGACAATTTTAAGGCATGAGGACTTCAACTCCCAGAATTCCACAGCCAGCAACGCTGGCTGTGGAATTCTGGGAGTTGAAGTCCACATGCCTTAAAATTGTCAAGTTTGGGAAACACTGTGTTAGAGGTAAGCCGTTCTTAGTAAAGCTGCCTTTTGCAATTGACTGATGGCAATACTGTCAATGCCGAGGATGTTCAATTGGTGCTCCAGATGTTTTGGAATTGCACCCAAGTTCCTTATTATTATGGGCACTATCTTTGCTTTCTTTTGTCGTAGCTGTTCCACTTTTACCTGCAGGTCTTTATATTTTATTATCTTTTCCAGTTCTTTCTCTTCTGTTCTGCTGTCTGCAGGGACTGCCCCATCCGCTATCCAGACCTTAACCTATCTTATCTATACATAGGTGTGATATATATTAAAACATAGTTCTCCACTCTTCTTATACCTATCTTGTGTTTCCATGCAGCACCATCCCTGGAGAAGACAACTACTTAAGAGACTGACAATGTTGGCCATGAACCCTCTCAAGAAATTAAATCAAACGCCACCTTCCATGAAAGGCAGCACAGCCTGTTCTAGAGCGGAGCGTCTTCCTTCTGTCATCCAGCCAGCTGGTGATAAAGATATAATTTTGCTGATTATACACAGCAGGCTGACTAGACAATAATTAGCTGGGTTGGCCTCCACTGCCTTTTTGTAAACTGAAACTCCAGTGGAGTGACTCCATTCTTTAGAGAGTTGCAGGAGATTCTCAATATGGATGAAAGGTGGCAATGAGGAAGGCCAACCAGAGACTTTGCCCATTTTCCAACTCTGCAAATAAACTTAATAGTTCTGGGTTCTAAACCAAGAGCCAGTCCGGTAAAGGATTAGAGAGTGCAGGATGCAGAATTAATACAGAATAACGGAAGGGGCCTTGTAGGTCAGGGGTCTTCAAACTTGGCCCTTTTATGACTTGTGGACTTCAACTCCCAGAATTCCTCAGCCAGGCACGCTGGGTGAGGAATTCTGGGAGTTGAAGTCCACAAGTCATAAAAGGGCCAAGTTTGAAGACCCCTGCTGTAGGTCATCTACTCCACGATATTGTATTTTTTTTCTAGCTGTTTCCAATTCCTGCATTACCTGGTGCTGCAATATCAATGAACCAGACTTTTTTCTTTGCCACAATAGTGATGTGGACCAGACGTTTGTCTGTTTGGATCTACAGGATCTTGGCTCCACCTCCTCCTGGCCAGGAGCTGATCATACCCTCCAAAATCAACTAATGTCCCCTCCCTGGACCTCACAGACTTTTTCCAATTCTGAAAGTTGTGGTTTATTTTAAAAAACTGCCCAACTCAATTCAAGACTCACCACCAATGACTTTTCTTGCACTTAACAACTTCTGAAATATTCTGAGTCAGGGTAATCCGTTTTCAGGGGTGGGGAAGGGAGGCTCCCGAATGAAAAGGAGAGGTAGGTGATGCTAGGTTATTTTAGCTCTTCCCTCTTTTTGAAGGAAGAGCAAAAGAGGAGGGGAAGGGCTGGGAGCCTCTGGAAAAAATATCTCTCTCTCTCTCTCTCTCTCTCTCACACACACACACACACACACACACACACACACGGGGGGGGGGGATAGAGAGACAGAGAGAGGGGAGAGGGAGGGAGGGAGACAGAGGGAAAGAGAGAAAGAGAGAGGGAGGGAGGGAGATAGAGGAAGAGGGAGAAAGAGAGAGGGAGAGAAAGAGGGAGGGAGAGAGACAGAGGGAAAGAGAGAGAGGGGGGACAGGGGGAGGGAGAGACATGGAAGGAGAGAGAGAGGGAGAGGGGGGAGGGAGGGAAGAAGGGAGAGAGAAAGAGAGGAAGAGAAGGAGGGAGAGAGATGGAGGGAAAGAGAGAGAAAGAGAGAGGGAGAGACGCGAAAGGAGAGAGAGAGGGAGGGGGGAGGGAAAGAAAGAGGGAGGGAGAGAGAAAGAGAGAGGGAGAGGAGGACAGAGAGAGACGGAGGGAAAGAGAGAGAGGGAGAGACACGGAAGGGAGGGAAGGAGGGGAGGGAGGGAGAGAAAAAGGGGGAAGGAGGGAGAGACAGAGAGAAAGAAAGGAAGAAAGAGGGAAAGAGAGAAAGAGAGGGAGACGGGGAGGGAGAGACACGGAAGGAGAGAGGGAGAAGGAGGGAGGGAGAGAGAAAGAGAGAGGGAGAGGAGGAGGGAGGGAGAGAGAGAGAGAGGGAGGGAGAGAGAGAGATCGACCAAGGCATTCAGAAACCCTGGAGGCAGCCAGGCGCTCCAAGTGCAAGGAAATTCACTGACATTAAAGCTCTCCCTCTGCTCCCCACTTCTTGGCTATCCCCCTCCCTCCCCCCCCAGCAAGGGGGCCTCCAGAGACCTGAAGACGCGGGGGGGGGCTCCAGAGACCTGCCCCTCCCCCCCCTCCCCGAGCCCTCGACGGGACGCTCCTACCTGGCGCTCCCTGCGCTCTCACCTGAGCCCGCGCCGGCCGCCTCCGCCATGGCAAAAGTTCCCCAGCGCGGCGGCAGAGGCAGCGCTCCCGGGCCCCAGAGGCATGGAGGGGGGGGGCAGGCAGGCAGGCGGTGGGGTGGCGCCCGGTCCCCCTTTTTACTCCTCCTCCTTGGGCGCAGCGGCGGGAAGAGGCGGCGAGAGGCGAGCAGGGCTCGGCGCGTCGCCCGGGCCGCCAGCGCCGCCTCTGCGCCCTGCTCAGCCTGGCTGGCCGGGGAGAAGCGCGCTGCTTCTCGCGAGAGGCGGCCGCCTGGAGGGGGGGGCACGGGGAAGGGGGGGGCGCAGGCAGGGACCCTCCTCCCCCATGGCAGCTGTGCGCTGCGCCCTTCCAGCCTCGCCTGAGCGACGGCGGCGCCTGGCCCGCCGGGAAAATGCGCTCTTCTGGCCCCGGTGCGCTGGAGACCCCGGGTCAAAAAGCCCCTTCCTCACTCGGGCCGGCTGCGAGGCGCGTTTCCCTGCAGCTTCTTCCCACCGCCCGCTCCCCATTCCATCTTTTCTCTTCTTTTCTCTCTCCTCTTCTCTCTCCGATCCAGTCTTCCCTTTTTCCTTCCTTCCTTGTCTCCGATCCAGTCTTCTCTTCTTTTTCTTTCCCTCTCTCCTCTCTGAACCAGTCTTCTTTTCTCTTACCTCCCCTCTCTCCGATCCAGTCTTCTCTTTTTCCTTCCTCCCTTCTCTCTGATCCAGTCTTCTTTTCCTTCCCTCTCTCCTCTGATCCAGTCTTCTTTTCTCTTACCTTCCCTCTCTCTTCCTCTCCAATCCAGTCTTCTCTTCTTTTCCCTCTCTCCGATCCAGTCTTCTTTTTCCTTCTCTCCGATCCAGTCTTCTTTTCCCTTCTCTCTCCTCTGATCCAGTCTTCTTTTCTCTTACCTTCCCTCCCTCCTCCTCTCCAATCCAGTCTTCTCTTCTTTTCTCTCCCCTCTCTTCTCCCTTCTCTCTGATCCAGTCTTCTCTTCTCCTCTCCTCTTTTCTCCCATTCCACTCCTCTTCCACTCCACTCCACTCTATTTTTTATACCTAGGAATTCTCTCTTTTATCCACCTAATATCTTCTCTTCTTTCTTCTTTCTCTTGGGGACATGCCTGCTTTTCTGCCCAGGGGTTACAATGGGTGGGCTCCCCAAACGAGCTTTCCAGCCTGGCTGCGGATTCAGCTCTTCTTCCCTTTGCATCACGTTTGGACACCACCAACCAGCCCTTTCCAGACTGACCCCAAGGGTCGTCCGGAGCCTAAGAGGGGAAGGCCAGATCCGTGGGGCCGCCAAGGCGTTCTCCCCCCCCCCCTGCTGTGGAATCTGCTGTCCCGCAATCCGAACAGAACAGAATAACAGAGTTGGAAGGGACCTTGGAGGTCTTCTAGTCCAACCCCCTGCTCAGGCAGGAAACCCTATATATAGTAGGCAACCTTGGCTCTTTTGTGACTCGTGGACTTCAACTCCCAGAATTCCTCAGCCAGCCACGTTGAGGGGAAAGGGAGAGGTTTCCAAGCTGGGCCAGGCTGGCTCAGGAATTCTGGGAGTTGAAGTCCACGAGTCATAAAAGAACCAAGGTTGCCTACCCCAGCCACCATTTCAGACAAAGTGGGTAATTGCACAAACCCGGGAAGAGCACCATTGCAATTAGGACACAGCCGTGGCTGGCACCCAGTTGGGGTTCCTCTCAATCACTGACCCACATCCTCTCAACTTCACAGCACTTAGGGGGGTGCAGGCTGGTCTAGCCGCCCACCTGGCCCCTCTTTTGCCCCCTGCCTGTCGGGACGCCATGCTGGCACTGCTTCTACCACCTCACCACATCTTTGTAGCCCCCATGGATTGGGAGAGGCTCTATGGATTCAAGTTATGAATTGAATAAGCCGCGCCCAGACCCATTCTCAATGGCAGAAGGATTTCGCAAACCTACTACTGGTTTACTGGTTAGGCCAATGGGCCACTATAGTCGGTGTAGGCTACGATCTAAGGCAGCTGCACTCAATGATAAACTTACCTCCTTTTTAAAAATTGTAGTAGTGAGTAGTGCAAATGGGTGACTTTGACACAGGTAAACCTCCAAGTGGCCTCAACAACTCTCCAGAATACAAATGACCAGCTTCTGCAAGGAGTATAAATCCTTCCACTCCCCACCACCCAGTCAGAACTGAAGAAGCTTCTTGGATGAGAAGCGAAACATCTTCAAAGAAAAACAAGAAAGTCCAGTTGCCTCCTGAAAAAGCATCTTTGGGACAACCAGGACCTGGATAGGCTGAGAATCTCCATAGACGTTCAGCTGATCATTGCTTGCTAACAATCAGTAAAGAGGTTATGACAGAAAAAATATTCTGCATGGCCGAAATAATTACATAAAAAAGCAATCTTCTGTCTCAACAAGATAGTTAAGAAACCAAATGGCGCTGGAACATTCTTATGAAGAGATATTCAAAGGTTCTGGGGACTTACCTTAACTTTCCAAGTGCCACTAGTTTATTTTCTTCCCTAATACAACACTGGCCATTTGCACAGGTAGTCCTCGACTTACGACCGCAACAGACTCCAACAAAATTTATGTTGCTAAGCGAAACAGTTGTTAAGTGAGTTTTGCCCCCATTTTACCACCATTCTTGCCACAGTTGTTAAGTGAATCACTGCCCTTGTTCAATGAGTCAAGCTGTTGTTAAGTGAATCCGGCTTCCTGGCTTGTCATTAACCCAGGACACTGCGGCCGTCATAAATAGGAGTCAGTTTTGCCAAGCGTCTGAATTTTGATCAGGTGACCACAGGGATGCTACAACGGTCGTAAGAATGAGTCACTTTTTTCAGTGACGTAACTTTGAACTGTCACTAAATGAACTGTTGTAAGTCAAGGACTACCGTAGTTAAGACATTAGATGGCAGTGGAAGGTTCTTATGAAGAGATGCTCAAAGCTTCGTGGGCTATACCTTAACCTTCCATTATCTAAATCCCACCAGTTATTTTCTTCTATATTATCTATAAAGACAAAACTGACATGTTTATAGGCATTCTGCTATGAGATTTAGCATTTACAGAAAGTTTTTAAAAACAAACATTTTGGGAGATTAATTCTGGATCCAACCTGGATCACTTCTGAACCTCATTGATGCTGCTACTTGGTCAACTTCTGGATGGCCCCTGAACTATCAAAAGCCACATAATAAACAATATAACAGGAAAGATGGTTACTGCTTCCTAATTCAAAATTTCCCTTGTATATCGTACACAATGCACTTTATTTTTCGAAGCAGCAGTTTTGAAAGTCATTAAGTGGTGTGGTGAAGGAAAATGACAAAAACATAGCCCTTCACAAACCACCAGCTGTGAAGACAATTTTTTAAAAAATGCCCAGCTAGAAGACCCCCTCCAGCTTCGACTATTTCAGAGTTTTTATTACTTTTATTATTTCTTCCTCTTTGACTGAAAATAAATGAATCTTGGCTAGCGAGAAGGAAAAAAAAACAGGTTTGGTAATAAAACGCCTACACAACTTGCCTAGACTTGTTGTGAGCGCTTTTTAAGTCACTGAACTTGGATATAATCTCTCTCGTCTCTTTACCTAAAGCCATCGCTAGATAGTCAGCCTTTTATCCCCTAACTAACTTGTATAAAATATTCTGCTGATTTCTTGTGATTTTTGGATAAACGAATTCTTTTAAGGACTTTGCATTAAGAATTTGGGAAGTGTCTTGTGCTGTATTCCTACATCATTATTACAATCATAAAGAATACCAATATAGGAATTTTTAACGGAGTGTGGCTTTTAGTGTAGGGTTTGATTGTTCTTGAGCCTGTAAATTAATATCACACCATTCTGTCTCTGTTTCTTCCCACAGAGTGGTTTCTTTAAATAAATGGATATAAACCAGACAGTCTTTTCCACATAATTGCTTTTGCTGGCTGGGGAATTCTGGGAGTTAAAGTTCACACCTCTTAAAGTTGCGAAAATTGAGATACATTAAATCTTAAAATATCAATCTGGTGCTATTTTTCTTAAGAGTACAAGGTGTTCTGAAGAATCTAGAAGAAATATACAAAAAAACCCACACCCTTTTTAACGTTTTAACATATTTGACAAAAAGACTGCTTTACAAAAAAAAAGTGCCGTGTTTATTGAATATGTTGTAAAAAGCCTTATATAAATATTTATAATGCCTTCTATTGTAACTTTTTGCAAACCACAACTATGGAATTTATTTTTTTCTTTGAAAAAAAAAAGGAAAGGTACAGTGGCCATTCAAATCCCAAAACTTTTGAAACGAAATCGACCTCAAACAAGTCAGTTACAACCTTGTTGAAATGTTCAGAGAAAATTAGAATAATCTTAAACAACCAACGAATGACCCAGGAATTGATGGATACGTTGTTAAAAGAGGAAAACAAATCCTGCAAACAAAAATATAAATATAAAACTCATCATTAGATTTGGACAGCTTTTAATGAGCTTCTGGCCAGCAGTGGCTGCAAGGGAGCAGAACGACAAAATTATAATTGTCCTGTAAGCCCCGCCCCATTTCTGTATATGTCATGATGTCACTCAACATGCCCAGAAGGGGTGTGGCTTTCAGGAAGCGTCTGTAGATGTGCCCCATTAATGTTGTAGAACCTCATCTTGTAAATTCCCTCCCCCTAAATAATCTCAGCAAGCAATACCCTTATTAAAATTACCAGCAAATCTCTTTGAAGAACAACTGTGGTATCCACCTTCTCTATTGGCCATCATCTATGAAAACTACTTGCTGAGCTAGATTGCAAGATGTAGATCAAGACCAGTCTAGACAACGGGCCCTTGGTCAGCCACCTTATCCATCTGGAGTAAAACTGATATTATAAAACCAATCCTTTGGTGACCCACTAATGTTCAATGTTCCTCAGATCTCTTCATTAGGGCATCCCATCAGCGTGGCCTTCCTCAACCTCAAATTTAAATTCAGATTCCTCAAATTTCAAACAGGGTCTAATTCTCTAGCAAACCAGATCACCAGGGCAATTTCCCAGTCGTTATTCCCAGTATAAATTCCAAGGACTGACAATTTTGGTTCACTTCTGGATGTCCCAAAGATGCTTTTTCCAAAAGGCAACTGGACTTTCTTGGTGGCTTTTTTTTTTCTTTGAAAACATTTGGCTTCTCATCCAAGAAGCTTCTTCAGTTCTTCAACTGAACTGAACTTTGGGAACTGAAGAAGCTTTTTGGATGAGGAGCGAAACGTATTCAAGGAAAAACAAAGGAAGTCCAGTTACCTTTTTTGGGGGGAAAAAATCATTTTTGGCACAACTATGATCTAGATCAGGGGTAGGCAACCTTGGCTCTTTTATGACTCGTGGACTTCAACTCCCAGAATCCCTGAGCCAGCATGGCTCAGCTTGGAAACCTCTCCCTTTTCCCTCGGCATGGCTGGCTCAGGAATTCTGGGAGTTGAAGTCCACCAGTCATGAAAGAGCCAAGCTTGCCTACCCCTGACCTAGATGACTGAGAATCTCCACAGATGTTTATTCTGGACCATCTCCACATAAACTCGCTTGCTTTACATCAGTGGTTCTCAACCTGTGGGTCGGGACCCCGTTTGGGGTCGAACGACCATTTCACGGGGGTCGCCAAACCATGCTGTCCACCATTTTGTTCCCTTTTCCCTAGCTGTCCTACTCCCTCTTATTGGTGGCCACACCCACTTGGGGGTCACCACAACATGGAGAACTGTATTATGGGGTCACAGCATTAGAAAGGTTGAGAACCACTGCTTTACAGTATTTCTTGTCCTACTGCCCTTGGAATCAATGGTTTTACAAGTCAGGTGGGAACATGAAAAATCCTTGCTATCAGAAAGTTAGAACATCAGGGGAAACCAGCTAGCCTTTATAAAACCTTGTGCTTGTTGTCTACGTGGGAGAGCTGCTCTGTTTTTCCCCCCTCCCTTTAACTTGGAAAACGCTGCCCTTCCGAAGCAAATACACTTGTTAAAGGTCTGCCCCATATTTCCTTCTCATTTCCGGATTCCTTTCTTTTCTAGTTTAATGAAAAGAAGGACTCGGGGTGACCAAACGTGGAAGGTTGTATCCAGTTTTAGTCGCCACACTATAAAAAAGATTTTTATGCTCTAGAACAGTGGTGGCGAACCTCTGGCACGCGTGCCAGAGCCCTCTCTGTGGGCACGCATGCCGCCGCTGCCAGCAGCCTGCACAGGTCCATTAGGCTGCTGCTGCCACCCGGGGCGGCAGCCACACCCAGCACAAAGGGAGCGAAGCGGCCAGCTAGCCAGCTCGAGTAGAGGTGGAAGAGCACGCCCACACCCAGCAAGCCAAAGGCCACCCCGAGCAGGGAAAGCCGGATAACTGGACGCCATGGCCCCCCCAGTCCCAGCTAGGTATTGCATGCCTCCCCCCATCTATGCTATGCCTCCTGCCCACCGCCCCACCCGCCAGAGACCCCCTGGATCTCTCCCAACCCTGCCTGGTCCCCACAGGTGCCCTCCCCCATGAGCAGCATTGAGATGGCCATGCCCACCCCAGCCATGCCACCCAGTGGGCCACATCCCCATGCCCCCCCTGAGGGCATCACAATGCCCTGGCACTTTGCCATAAATAAGTGGGGTTTGGGTTGTGGTTTGGGCACTCAGCCTCTAAAAGGTTCCCATCACTGCTCTAGAAAGAGCACAGAAAAGAGCAACAAAGATGATCAGGGGACTGGAGGATAAAACATATGAAGAACGGTTGCAGAAATTGGGTATGACTAGTTTAATGAAAAGAAGGACTGGGGGGGGAGGGACATGATAGCAGTATTCCAGTTATTTGGATAGCAGTATTCCAGTTATTTGAGAGGCTGCCACAAAGAAGAAGGAGTCAACCTATTCCCCAAAGCACCAGAAGGCAGGATAAGAAGTAATGGATGGAAACCCATCAAGGAAAGAAGCAACCTAGAACTAAGGAGAAACTTCCTAACAGTGAGAACAATTAACCAGTGGAATGACTTACTTCCAGAAAACACTTGGAGGTTTCCAAGAAGAGACTGGTCAGCCACTTGTCTGGAATGTATAGGGTCTCCTGCTTGAGTGGGGGGGTTGGACTAGAAGACCTCCAAGGTCCCTTCCAGCTCTGTTATTCTGTTATCCTTTTTAACTCAAACTCCCCATAGAAAAATAAATTAATCAAAGACGGTATTCGACCCACCCTCGCTTCCCTAACCCAGCAATTGGCAAGATTTTAATTCAGAAGAACTCGACAAGTTCAAAAAAAAAAAAAGGGGGGGGGAGAAATGGTTTTATTCTTTTTTTAGTACTCATTTTTTTTAAAAAAAGTAAACCACCTTATCATTCTGGAAAAAAAGAAAACAAAACAGAATCGGTCAAGCTATTTCAGGATCTTTGGTACTCAAGCGGAGAACAAAATGGCACAAACCATCACAGCGATGTTAAATTCAGAAGGAAAGGAAACACGCAAAAAATAATAATAAGATTTGAGATAAATGCTGAATTTATGCCGGATTTTTTTCTTTGTCCTAGATCAGAGGTAGGCAACCTTGGCTCTTTTATGACTCGCGGACTTCAACTCCCAGAATTCCTGAGCCAGCATGGGGGAAACTATGGCCCCTTCATGACTCGTGGACTTCAACTCCCAGAATTCCTGAGCCAGCCATGCTGAGGGGAAAGGGAGAGGTTTCCAAGCTGGCCATGCTGGCTCAGGAATTCTGGGAGTTGAAGTCCACGAGTCATAAAAGAGCCAAGGTTGCCTACCCCTGGCCTAGGCCGTTTTATGACTCGTGGACTTCAACTCCCAGAATTCCTGAGCCAGCCACGCTGAGGGGAAAGGGAGAGGTTTCCAAGCTGAGCCATGCTGGCTCAGGAATTCTGGGATTTGAAGTCCATCAGTCATAAAAGAGCCAAGTTTGAAGACCCCTGGTTTAAATATTTAAATATTTTTCCTCACAGTCACGTGATCAAAATTCAGGCATTTGGGCAGGGGTAGGCAACCTTAGCTCTTTTATAACTCGTGGACTTCAACTCCCAGAATTCCTGAGCCAGCCATGCTGAGGGAAAAGGGAGAGGTTTCCAAGCTGAGCCATGCAGGCTCAGGAATTCTGGGAGCTGAAGTCCACGAGTCATAAAAGAGCCAGGGTTCCAGGGTTGCCTACCCGTCCTAGACGTTTCCAGCGGTTATGATGAAAGCGGGCCGCTCACTTTTATTTGATAAAAGCTGCGTCTAAGTTCTGAAAACAGGTAAATGCTCACTTTTCGGTTAATCCAGTTCTATGCCAGTTTGTCTACTAATTACAATCGGAAGTAGTAACTTCTCTCTAGTGTTAAAACTAGAAGCCCTGAGCGAGAGCAAGAAGCCAGCAAGTGTGGCAAATAACCTTTAAAAATAGCTAGTTTAAGTAACTCTACGACAGCTTCTTATGTCGCCGTCCTTCCCCTGCGGGGAACCACGTTATCAAACGTGGTTTCCGATTCTTTTCGTTTTTCAAACAGGTAGTCCTCGACTTACGACCACCACTGAGCCCAACATTTCTGTCGTTGAGTGAGACAGTTGTTCAGGGAGTGTTGTTGCCCCGTTTTACAACCTTCTTTGCCACCGTCCTTAAGAAAATCACTGCAGTTGTTACGTTGTTAACCCGATTGTTAAGTGAATCTGGCTTCCCCATTGACTTTGCTCGTCAGAAGGACCCAAAAAGGGATCACTGCAACCGTCATAAGTACATGCCAGTTGCCAAGCAATCCGAATTTTGAACACGTGGCTCCGGGGATGCTGCGACGGTCATAAGTGTGAAAAATAAGTCGTCAGTCATTTTTTGTCAGTGCCTTTGCCACTTGGGATGGTCTCTAAAGGAACTGTTGTAAGTCGAGGACCACCTGTGCTTTCCTCCCTAAAAACCTGCCCAGGTAAATACCCAAACGCAGCTACCTTGTTGAGAAAGGGACAAGGTTGCTTCTTACACCGACATGATCTTTTTAACACTTGGGCAAACGGCACATAGTTTGAACCATGAACCGAATGTCCTTAAGAGGCAGAATTGACCATTTTAAACATACATTTCGGCAGTGCAGACAATGAAGAGGACGTCGGTCGCTTGTTCTTTTCTCTCTCACTCTCTCTCTCTCTCTTTTTAAATTTCCAGTACCTCTGTCGTAATAAAGTTAACAAAAATATTCACTATTAAAAGAAGCCGCCAGCTGGCACTGCCAACTCATTGTCTGTAGTAGTCTCAGAAATCCTAATCCTGTAGAATTCCTTAATTTCTGGGCCGGGTCCGCAGGCGCCGGTCTGTGGGAGCGTCGGAGAGGGTGGCGATCGAGCGGAGGTGGACAGGGTACCTGAGTTCTTACGTTTCCTGGCTCCGCCGCATCTCACAATTTCCCGGCCTTCATGTAAGAAGGGATGGAGCCCCGCTGAGTCAGCCCTTCGAATCTCTTGTAGGTGTAATTCAGGAAAACCCAATCTTTGGACTTGAAGTCTGGTTCGGTGGTATTTGGCACTAGAGCAAAGAAAAAGATTTGATTTTTTTTTGAGGACACAGAGGAGTGCAGGCTTCCCGTGAAAGCTCATTTCAAATGGAAAGTAAGAAGGTGGTTTTCAACGACACGTTTATTATTAAACTCGTGGGATCCTCTCTGAGCGTGGTGGTTTTCTGGCAGACGTTTCATGACCCAACTAGGTAACATCATCAGTGCTAGAAGGGAGTGGTGTTTATGGAGAGGAGGAGGAGGAGGAGGAGGAGGAAGAGAACTGTGGGGTCCTTGGTGCTCTTTGAGCCTGATGGTTTTCTTGTAGACATTTCATTACCCAATTAGCTAATATCCTCAGTGCTAGAAGGAAGAGGGGTATGGGAGGAGGAAGAGGAGGAGGAGGAGGAGGAAGAGGAGAAGAAGAAGAAGAAGAAGAAGAAGAAGAAGAAGAAGAAGAAGAAGAAGAAGAAGAAGAAGAAGAAGAAGAAGAAGAAGAAGAAGAACAACAACAACAACAACAACAACAACAACAACAACAACTGTGGGACCCTTGGTGCTTTCTGAGCTTGGTGATTTTCTTACAGACATTTCATTACCCAACTAGATAACGTCATCAGTGCTGGAAGGGAGTAGGGTTTGCTCTCATTTTATTTACTATGGCTTGCTCTGTCAGTGTTGCTGGGAATGTTCTTCACTGGATTAGGTTGTGCCTTATTGTTAGCTTGTTTATCTGCGTGCTCCTTGCTGTTCTCTGAGCTTGGTTGTTTTCATGCAGCTGCTTCATTACCAAACTAGATGCCTATGGAGATTCTCAGTCATCCAGGTCATGGTTGTCCCAAAGTTGCTTTTTCACGAGGCAACTGGACTTCCTTGTTATTCTTTGAAGATGTTTCGCTTCTTATCCAAGAAGCTTCTTCACCTCTGGAGGGAATGGTAGGATTTATACTCCTTGCAGACAGCTGGTCATTTGCCTTCTTTTGGAGAGTCGTTGAGGCCACCTGAAGGTTTATTTATGTCAGGGGTGTCAAACTCAATTTCATTGAGGTCCGCATCAGCATTGCGGTTGCCCTCGGGGGGCGGGGGGGCGGCCTACTGGATGGGCGTGGATGGAGTGGGTATGGCCTACTGGGTGGGCATGGCCAGCTATACATCTTTTGCGTCAAGGGTGCCTTTGGGGGCCTGGGCAGGAGTGGGACAGATCTGAGGGTCTCTGGCAGAAGGGGGTGGGACCGGGGCAAGCGCCAAGGCAGGGTCCATTTCTTTATTCCTCACAAAGGGGGACACCTCCCCAGCATGCACCTAGGGGGCAGGGCTGACACAGCAGGGGCTGGTTCCTCGCTGTTTCTAGACGGCCTTGTGGAGCTAAGACTGAATGCGTTTCAGCATAGATGGCCACCACAAAATTGTACATTGGCTCCCGGCCGGCCTGGGCCAGAGCCAAGGCAGCGGGGGCCGTTCCCTCACTGTTTCCAGGATGGCTTTGCGGGCCACATGAAACCACTTCATGGGCCGCATCCGGTCCCCGGGCCTTGTATTTGACATGTCTGCTCTATGTCCTCAGAGTCATCTGAGTGGTGCAAATGGGTGTGGAGCTTTCTTGGAACTGCTGAAAGGACTGTGTTGTAAACTGGAGAGAGATGATGTCGTATCCTTCCCCCTCTATTGAGAGAGGGCTGTTCAACTGAAACTTAAAAGAAAGCAAACGACCAGCTGTCTGCAGAGAGTATAAATCCTTCCATTCCCCACCATCCAGTCAGAGCTGAAGAAGCTTTTCGGATGAGAAGCGAAACGTCTTCAAAGAAAAACCAAAAAGTCCAGTGGCCACATCAGTGGATGCTATCAACTTTCGTAATGAAGCATCTGCATGAAAACCACCAAGAGCTCCAGGAAGACCCTAACTTACAAATATTCTCTGCTGTTATTTGTCTACGTTGGGAGTTCCTTGTTTGGGCTGTTGCTTACTTCTTGATTGTTGCAGACCACAACGCTCACAAAAATAAACTACTAGAAGAGTTTATCTCAAACTAAACTCTTGAATATTCTTTTTTTTACCTGCTAGGTTTCTTTCCTACATACGTTGCTCTGGGCTTTGGGGAGTGGATGTAACTAACAACCAACCAAGATTGATCTAAAATCCTTGGGATAACCTTTTACCGACAGTGCTGTTATTAGTCCTTTGAAATATGCCAACGCAAGTCATCTTGTTGAATTAGAACACCTTCAAGGTTGCATTCGATAATACGATTCGAAGACGCTTGCTCCAATAAGAAACAAAAGCCACATATTGTCCGAGCTGCAAGCCAGAAAAAATGGGCATTGTTGTGTCAATGAGTATTGCACTCACCTGGTTGTAAAATGTCCGATTCGGGGAATTCGTCAAAATTGGAGGTGTCATCTATACTTTTGATTTCTATATTGATCGCCGCTGGCCTTTCTCTAAAACGAAACGCAAACATCACAAAAATCAAGCCTTCAGCCAGCTTTGGCCTCGGCTCAATTGAATCTAGCTTCAAAACCTTTAAAACAGGGGTCTTCAAACTTGGCCCTTTTATGACTTATGGACTTCAACTCCCAAAATTCCTCAGCCAGGCAAATGGCTGAGGAATTCTGGGAGTTGAAGTCCACAAGTCATCAAAGGGCCAAGTTTGAAGACCCCTCCCAGAATTCCTCACCCAGGCATGCTGGCTGAGGAATTCTGGGAGCTGAAGTCCACAAGTCATCAAAGGGCCAAGTTTGAAGACCCCTCCCAGAATTCCTCAGCCAGGCACGCTGGCTGAGGAATTCTGGGAGTTGAAGTCCACAAGTCATCAAAGGGCCAAGTTTGAAGACCCCTGCTTTAAAACAATCCAGTCACCTCCGACACAAACACAAATGTACTGTATCTGCTACTTCCTTTCTGAATGCATTTAAATGCACTTCCAGGTAGATCCAGGTGAACACACATTACCTGTTAATACCTCCTTAAGGAAACTTTTGTCTTTAGTTGTGCAATCCCCAAGGAAATACAGGTAGTCCTCGACTTACAACAGTTCATTTAGTAACCGTTCAAAGTTACAATGACGCTGAAAAAAGGGACTTGTGACCGTTTTTCACGCTTAGGACCGTTGCAGCATCCCCAGGGTCACGGGATCAAAATTCAGATACTTGGCAACTGACTCGTATTTATGACGGTCGCCATGTCCCAGGGTCAGGTGATCCCCTTTTGCAACCTTCTGGCAAGCAAAGTCAACGAGGGAAACCCAAATTCACTTAACAACCGGATTTCCAACTTAATCAACTGCAGTGATTCATTTAACATGGCGAGAAAGCTCGTAAAAATGGGGCAAATCTCACTTAACAAATGTCTCACTTAGCAACGGAAATTCGGGGCTCAATTGTGCTTGTAAGTCGAGGACTATCTGTACACATTGACTCAAGATGTATACAAAATGCCCAGGCCTGTTCCGAAATACCTTGTTGCATCCTGGTGGTGCCTTTTTAACGTGTGCATATTTTGAAGGACCTATATGACTACTCTGGTGGTGCAGGGGTTAGAAGGCAGTATTGCAGGCTGACTCTGCCCACTACAAGGAGTTCGATCCTGATCGACTCAAGGTTAGCTCAGCCTTCCATCCTTCCGAGGTCAGAGAAATGTGGACTCAGATTGTTAGGGGGCAATAGGCTGACTCTGTAAACCAGGAGTCCCCAACCTGCAGGCTGCGGACCAGTAGTGGGCCATGGTCTGCTGGCTATCGGGCTGTGGGAGAGGCTGGCCAGTGCGCACACGTGTGCTCGCACACCCGCCCACTAGTGCTAGCACTGTGGCCGTGGGGTGCAAAATCTGGACAGTGCCATGCCGTGGGGTGCAAAAACAGGGCAATGTGCTGCAGGGTGCAAAAACGGGCCTATGCTGCGCCTCGAGATCAAAAACGGGATGCCGCTGTGCCACGGGGCGCACAAGCAGGCAGAAATGGGGCACTGTGCTGCGCAAGAACGGGGCAGGGCTAGCGAGTATCACGCAAGTGCTAGCCCCACCCGTTTGCATCGCACATGTGGTCGCGGCCCCATACGCGTGCACACAAACATGTGCTCCCGTGTAAAACACTCCCCCTCCAATTCCCTCCAGTCCGCCAAGAAAGATTGGTGACCTGTTCTGTTCCCTTCCATTCTAAAGCCCTGATGGCGCAGGAGTTAGAGTGCAGTATTGCAGGCTAACTCTGCCCATTGCCAGCCGTTCGATCCTCACCGGCTCAGCGTTGACTCAGCCTTCCATCCTTCCGAGGATCCAGATTGTTGGGGGCAACATGCTGACTCTGTAAACCGCTTAGAGAAGGCTGTAAAGCGCTGTGAAGCATTATATAAGTCTGAGTCCTCTTGCTATCTTCTTTAAGGATATACCAAGAGGTTCAAGATATGGCTCCTGCTTGGGATGTAAAGGCCTGTCTATCCCTCAATTTCCCAGAATTCTTCCACTTTTCATTTTTCACCCACTCTACCTGATGTGTGCCCAGTCCACCCCTTCAAAAAATGCGTGGCTCTTAATTTCTTCTACTCCGTTGCTGCCGATTCTGTTCTCACCATCAGTGCAAAATCTAGAAGAGGGGGGGGGAAGATTTATTTTTTTAAAATTATTACTAAGGTAGTAAATGGTGCAATAAACACAGTTTCTAGCCTACAATTTGCTTTGAAAAACAAGTCTGGTACAAAAGTAAGACAGCTGAAGATTTTGGTGTCCAAGAAGACGCATTTTTGATACCTACAATCAGCCCCAAATTCCAGTTATCACACGTTCTCTGAAAAAGATGCTAATTGTTTATCATCTTTTCCATAAGGGGGTTAAATAGATCTTTTCTGAAGCCTTCTATAAATGTAGGAAACCTGGGGGGATAGGTAGGATTTGATCAAAACGCCCAAATAGCTGGATAATCATCAAACAGGAAGTGACGGAATTTCTTTATAAAATCCTCCCCATCTTAAACTGGCATGAATTTTTTCATTCGTCCGCTTCCAACATTTACTCCAGAGCAGTGGTTCTCAAGCTTTTTAATGCCGCGACCCCCAACCGGTCGTAAGTCGAGGACTACTCAACCGGTCGTAAGTCGAGGACTACTCAACTGGTACAGCACCGTTTGCAGAATGGGACTTTTGGCAGGCTCAGCAGGGCAGAGACAGCCTGGACAATTCCTATTGGCTTTGGAAAGCCAATCGAATTAGACTCTATTCAAGAGAGTCTATTCTATTGGCTTTCAAAAGCCAATAGAATAAAAGGGAGTAGCACAGCTAAGGAAAAGGGGAAAAAAATGGCGGACTGTATTGTTTGGCGACCCCCGTGAAATGGTCGTTCGACCCCAAATGGGGTCCCGACCCACAGGTTGAGAACCACTGCTCCAGAGTCTTCTACTGGTTAGACTCCTAGTTCTTCTCCTTCCTCTTCTCGGCTCTTTCTACCAGTTCTCCCTCCTTCTCCTTTCATCCACCTTTCAAGGGGTGGTCTACAGCTTACTTCTTGGACTCTTGTTCTATCGATGGCTCTTTCCTACAGTTTCAATTTCTTCGTCTCTCCAATTTGAATCTGAATTTGATGTAGAAGATGACCGGGCTGAGCCCAAGGGAGGGGTCAAATGCATCCATGAGCCCTTTCACACCCACAAATTCAGCCCACTGTGAATTCCTTATCTCCCGTTGATTTCCCTTGGCTGTTAGTAGTTCAGATTCTTGTAGAGAGCTTAAGCTTACAATAAATCTTTGAGTTGCCCGGAAGCCCTGGTTTCCGTGGCACTTGATACCGTGCTTCGTTTCCACTGTTTTCTTAGTAATAGTAGTAAAGTTGGAAGGGACCTTGGAGGTCATCTAGTCCAACCCCCTGCTCAGGCAGGAAACCCTACACCATTTCGGACAAATGGCTGTCCAGTCTCTTCTTAAAAACTTCCAGTGTTGGAGCATTTACTGCTTCTGGAGGCAGGCTGTTCCACTGATTGTTCTCACTGTCAGGAAGTTTTTCCTTAGTTCCAGGTTGCTTCTCTCCTTGATTAGTTTCCACCCATTGCTTCTCGTCCTGCCTTCAGGTGCTTTGGAAAATAGCTTGATTTCCTCTTCTTTATGGCAGCCCCTGAGATATTGGAATACTGCTATCCTGTCCCCCCTTGTCCTTCTCTTCGTTAAACTAGACATACCCAATTCTAGCAGCTGTTCCTTATATGTTTTAGCCTCCAGTCCCCTAATCATCTTTGTTGCTCTTCTCTGCACTCTTTTTTAGAGTCTCAACATCTTTTTTACATTGTGGTGACCAAAACTGGATGCAGTATTCCAGGTGTGGCCTTACCAAGGCAGATGTTTAGAAGTCTACACTCACACAGCCCTGCGGTTGTCTTCCACCCCCTAACCTCTGACGAGCGATTCTGTCATTGTAACGTAAAGCTTCTTCAGCGTAATGGCAAAGAAAACTAGATTATCAGTATCAGGCAAACCAAACCATACTTTGTACGGCTTTCCTGCATATGTAAGGGAAGGGCTTACCTTAAAATTAGATCCTTTGCCTTTTCTGAAATGGGCACCTCTGGTGGAAACACCAAAGTCTCTTTCCAGTTCATAACTTTTCTATATGTTTCTTGGGGTGTTTCCGAGCAAAAAGGTGGGTATCCTGTAGAATGGAAGACAAGGAAAAGCACTAAATTAGACCAGGGGTGTCAAATTTCACTGAGAGCCGCATCAGCATTACAGTTGCCCTTGGGGGGGGGGAGTGTGTGGCCAGGGTGGGTGAGGCCTACTGGGTGGGTGTGGATGGAGTGGGTGTGGCCTACTGGGTGGGCGTGGCCAGCTCGACATCGTGGCCTGGGCAGGAGTGGGACAGATCTGAGGGTCTCTGGCAGAAGGGGGTGGGACCGGGGCAAGCGCCAAGGCATGGTCCATTTCTTCATTCCTCACAAAGGGGGACACCTCCCCAGCATGCACCCAGGGGGCGGGGCCGACACGGCAGGGTCTGGTTCCTCGCTGTTTCTAGACGGCCTTGTGGAGCTAAGACTGAATGCGTTTCAGCATAGATGGCCACCACAAAATTGTACATTGGCTCCCAGCCGGCCTGGGCCAGGGCCAAGGCAGTGGGGGCCGTTCCCTCACTATTTCCAGGATGGCTTCGCGGGCCACATGAAACCACTTCACGGGCCGCATCCGGCCCGGGAGCCTTGTGTTTGACATGTCTGAATTAGAGGAAAAATATTTAAGTACTGGGAATAAACTTGGTAGATGGCGTCATGTTAATTCTCCGTGGTTCTCCCCCCCACCCAAAACCCCCCAAATTTCCTTTGAAACTAAGGAGGTCCAATCGGTCAATCCTAAAAGGAAATCAACCATGACCGTCCTTTGGAAGGGCAGATCCTGAACCTGAAGCTCAACTATTTTGGCCCCTGAATGAGAAGACGAGAAAGGACACTGATGTTGGGAAAAAGGATGCCTGATGAAGGCCAGAGGAAAAGGGGATGACAGAGGATGAGATGGTTAGATGGGATCGTTGACGCAAGGAATATAAGTTTGGGCAAACTCTGTGCTTCCCCTCTTAGCCTCTTTTTTCATCGCAGCTCCCATTTGTCGCTCTCACCTATTAGCATTTCGTACATGATGACCCCCAAAGACCACCAGTCGCAGAGTTTGTTGTAACCCGTTTGCATGAAAACCTCCGGCCCAATGTAATCTGGAGTCCCGACAGTAGAATAGGCCTGGGGAAAAAAAAAGATATTTCGAAAAAAGAGAGAGATTCAGCCCACCTTTTTAAAAAATAAAATAAAATAAAAATCCAGGGTTATGTCTTTCAAAGAAAACAGGTCAGGGTCCTCCATCTATCGTAGTGGTTCTCAACCTGTGGGTCGGGACCCCATTTGGGGTCGAACGACCATTTCACGGGGGTCGCCAAACAACGCAGTCCGCCATTTTTTCCCCCTTTTCCTTAGCTGTGCTACTCCCTTTTATTCTACTGGCTTTTGAAAGCCAATAAAATAGACTCTCTTGAATAGAGTCTAATTCTATTGGCTTTCAAAAGCCAATAGGAATTGTCCAGGCTATCTCTGCCCTGCTGAGCCCGCCAAAAGTCCCATTCTGCAAACGGTGCTGCACCAGTTGAGTAGTCCTCGACTGACGACCGGTTGAGTAGTCCTCGACTTACGACCGGTTGGGGGGGGGTCGCAGCATTAAAAAGGTTGAGAACCACTGATCTATCGTCTAGTTTGGTTTTCATGCTTTCTCTGAAAACAGCATTGTTTACCATTGTTTACCGTTCTGATTTCTGGCAAAAATAAATAAATAAATACCCATTGGGGACAATTGATTGCACAGTCCTTCTCCTCCTCCTTCTCCTACCCCCCCTTTCTCCTTCTCCTCTACTCCACTAACTCCACCCCCTTCTAGTACTGATGATGTTACCTAGTTGGGTAATGAAAAGTCTGCAAGAAAACCACCAAGCTCAGAGAGCCCTAAGGACCCCACAGTCCTCATCCTCTTCCTGCTGAAACTTGCATTATTCTACTACTGACATATGCAATGACCTAGCTCTCTAGTGAAGTCTAGAATTACTGGGAACGATGGATGGAAAGAGAAGAAGAAGGCCTACAACGAAGTCAACGGACTCAGCTTGGAAATTGGGAAAAGATCCTCTATCTAACAGTCTTATCCATTTGGTCATTAAAACTCGGCACCAACTTGATTGAGTATATCAATCAATCAATCAAAGGTCGCAAAATCAAATATAATGCTTGTGGGATCCTTGGTGTTCTCTAAGTTCCGTTGTTTTCTTGCAGATGTTTTGTGACCCAACTAGGTGACATCTTCAGTTCTAGACGTTGCAAGCACCAATCCCTTCTAACACTGATGATGTTACCTAGTTGGGTAATGAAACGTCTACAAGAAAACAAGCAAAGTCAGAGAGCCCCAAGGACCCCACAGTCGTCGTCCTCCTCCTCCTTTTCCCTGTAAATCCCACTCCCTTCTAGCACTGATGATGTTACCTAGTTGGGTAATGAAAAGTCTGCAAGAAAACCACCAAGCTTAGAGAGCACCAAGGACCCCACAGTCTTCCTCTTCCTCCTCCCCCTCCCCCTCCTCTTCCCTGCAAACCCCACTCCCTTCTAGCACTGATGATGTTACCTAGTTGGGTAATGAAAGGTCTGCAAGAACAAATCCAAGCTCAAGAACTACAAGGACCCCCCCCCCCCGTCGTCATCGTCCTCCTCCTCCCCTTCTCCTTCTCCTCTACTCCACAATCCCCTCCTCCCTTCTAGTTATCTAATTAGATCATTGAAATATCTGCAAGAAGAAAACCAAGAGCGCTACAAGGATCCCATGGTCCTCCTCCTCCCTTCTAGCACTGATGATGTTACCTAGTTGGGTCACGAAAGGTCCGCAAGAACAAAACCCAGCTCAGAGAGCTGCAAGGAGGACTTGAAGACCACCTGGCTTCCTCGGGACCTTTTGACGTGGAAGGACTTGGCAGAGGTCAACAGGGTCTCCGGGAAAGCACTCACCAACTGCCGCCTGTTCTTCTTCCATGTTTCTGCTTTTCTCTTGGAGTTCATATTCTGAAAGGCTGAATGCACGAAACAGAGCGAGGTGAATGCTTTGCATTTTTCACAGCGTCACAAAAATTCAGCCTGCTTATGGATTCTCATGCAAGATACAAAGGGGCATCGGGTGGGCAGGAATGAATGACAGGGCCTTTTTCTCGTGCAAACGTTAACAAAAAAAAAAAAAAAGACCTGAAAAGCTATTTTAACCATTTCTTTCCCTCCCTAAATGTGTCATCGACACAGAATTGCGAGGCATTAAAGAGCCGTTCTGCTCCAAAGACTTTGGAGACACAATATCGGAAACGGTACATCTTACAACTTCCCTGTTGTCTTGCAGATATTTCATTACCACACTAGGTGACATCATCAGCGCTAGACCTTTAGGGCAGTGGTTCTCAACCTGTGGTCGGGACCCCATTTGAGGTCGAACCACCATTCCACGGGGGGGGGGGGGTCGCCAAACAACACAGTCCACCATCTTTTTCCCCCCTTTTCCTTAGCTGTGCTACTCCCTTTTATTCTATTGGCTTTTGAAAGCCAATAGAATAGACTCTCTTGAATAGAGTCTAATTCTATTGGCTTTCGAAAGCCAATAGGAATTGTCCAGGCTGTCTCTGCCCTGCTGAGCCCGCCAAAAGTCCCATTCTGCAAACGGTGCTGTACCAGTTGAGTAGTCCTCGACTTACGACCGGTTGAGTAGTCCTCGACTTACGACCGGTTGAGTAGTCCTCGACTTACGACCGGTTGGGGGTCGCGGCATTAAAAAGGTTGAGAACCATTGCTTTAAGGCATTGATAAGGTGGTGTGATTTGGTAATGAAATGTTTGCGAGGAAACCACCAAGCTCAGAGAGCATCAAGGACCCCGCAGTCCTCCTTTCTGCAAACTCACTCCCTTGCAGCACTGATAATGTTACCTAGTTGGGTAATGAAACGTCTGCAAGAAAACTGCCAAGCTCAGAGAGCACAGAGGACCCCACAGGCCTCCTCCTTCTCCTCTTCCTCCTTCTCCTCCTCTTCCCATACCCCTCTCCCTTCCAGCACTGATGATGTTACCTAGTCGGGTAATGAAACGTCTGCAAGAAAACAGCCAAGCTCAGAGAGCACCAAGGACCCCAGAGTTCAACCCTGAACTACAAATATTCTCCTCTATCAACACAATAGGCAAAATATTTATCATAAGTGGGAATTTGCAGTACTTACAGAAGTCACTTGGCGGATTATGCGTAAGGTTTCTGTAGAATTCAGTTCGGTGAGCTTTCTTTAAACCTGTGCATAGCCCAAAATCAGAGAGTTTTACATGCCCCTACAGAAAGAAAACATTACTCATATGATTAATCCAGATGACTGATGTAAATACGTACTTCTGGAGCAATCCCCTGATTTACATCTAACCGTCCACCAGAAGAACTGTGCCAAAGCACAAAACCGCGTTCATCGCATTTGAGCAATGGACACGCAGATGGATTTCAAGCAAATTTTTAGTACTATTTTATTTCTAAAATTTATCTAGCCACCCATTTATTAGCCACAGTAACTCTGGGCGGCTTACAATATTAAAAAGATGAAAGCGTATAAAGTGTAATAAATAGAAACACAATGTTATAAACATCAACCTAGCTAACAATACAGGGAGGGAGGGAGGATGGCGAGAAGGGGAGGGGGTGGGATCTGTTCTTAATCTATCAACCCCCCCCCCAAGGTGGAGCCCCTCCGTTGGTACCAACTGGCAGAGCCAGGTCTTTAAGCTCTGATGCAGGGGTCTTCGAATTTGGCCCTTTTACGACTTGTGGACTTCAACTCCCAGAATTCCTCAGCCAGCGTGACTGGCTGAAGAATTCTGAGAGTTGAAGCCCACAAGTCGTAAAAGGGCCAAGTTTGAAGACCCCTGCTCTTATGGATGGTAAGGAGGGTTGGAGCTGACCTCACATATTGATATCTCGTTTTTGGGAGGGTGGCGTTTGAAGGGTGATTTGTGCAATCAGCCCTTCAGTGGATAGGTTTTGGATGGGCAGGTTCAACCTTAGACAAGAAGATTTCTGTATTTATAAAAGGCGGGGGGATGTCGAAACCAACCGCAGCCCAGTCATTTCAGCCATGGTGTTGAGGATGTCACAAGTACCTATGAGAAGAGTGTTTTCTCAGTTCTCAGCAACTTTAAGCTGGTTGTACTTCAACTCCCAGGAGTATGGACTTCAACTCCCAGACTTCAACTCTCAGAAATGTGGACTTCAATTCCCAGATTTCAGTTCCCAGAAGTGTGGACTTCAACTCCCAGAATTCAACTCCCAGAAGTGTGGACTTCAATTCCCAGAAGTGTGGACTTCAACTCCCAGATTTCAGCTCCCAGAAGTGTGGACTTCAACTCCCATAATTCAACTTCCAGAAGTGTGGACTTCAACTCCCAGAATTCAACTCCCAGAAGTGTGGACTTCAACTCCCAGATTTCAGCTCCCAGAAGTGTGGACTTCAACTCCCAGACTTCAACTCCCAGAAGTGTGGACTTCAACTCCCAGACTTCAACTGCCAGAAGTATGGACTTCAACTGCCAAAAGTGTGGACGAACTGCCAGAAATCAACTCCCAGAAGTGTAGACTTCCTTCTATTCTGGGGATTCTGGGAGTTGGAGTCCACCCAGCTTAAAGTTGCTGAAATTGAGAAATTCCGTCCGAGAACGAGGACCCAAAACAGAGGACGTGTATGAACATTAGATACCTTTGCATCCAGCAGAAGATTATCGGGTTTAATATCTCTGTGAATAAACCCTAGTTGATGAATGGCATCAATAGCAAGCACGGTTTCAGAGATATAAAACTGTGTTTCTTCCTCAGATAGCGTATCCTTCTTCATGAGCAAAGTCATCATATCACCTGAATCAGGGAGAACAGGACATAGTACTGTATTTGGCTAGTGTCAAAAAGCGAGAAATACACACTGAGTTACTTCTGCGCAGCTTCCTTTATTGCAGTGGTTCTCAACCTGTGGGTCAGGACCCCATTTGGGGTCGAACGACCATTTCACGGGAGTCGCCAAACAAGGCTGTCCGCCATTTTTTCCCCCTTTTCTTTGGCCACACCCCTGGCACCCGGTGATGTATAAGTGGTTGGGGTCACCACAACATGGGGAACTATATTATGGGGTCGTGGCATTAGAAAGGTTGAGAACCATTGCTTTATTGTTCCTCACCTATAGACAGAATCTTGCCAAACTAAAGCAGACCCCTTGCGTCATTAAAGATATAGCCTGAGAATTGCTAGGGAGGAGCTGTCTTATCTCTTTTTCTCCCAACCAAGGTATCTGAACTTCGCTGTCTCTTGGTCCTCTGGAACGCGGCCCTTCTCTTCTGGGAATCCAGACTACATTCCACCACAGCGGGTTTCGATATAAGAAAACTGGATAAAAATGATACAATCTCCAGTATTCCAATAATTACTATGATAATATGGCCAGGATCATAGAACATAGAATAATAAGATTGGAAGGGATCTTGGAGAACTTCTAGTCCAGGGGTAGGCAACCTTGGCTCTTTTATGACTCGTGGACTTCAACTCCCAGAATTCCTGAGCCAGCCATGCTGAGGGGAAAGGGAGAGGTTTCTAAGCTGAGCCATGCTGGCTCAGGAATTCTGGGAGTTGAAGTCCACGAGTCATAAAAGAGCCAAGGTTGCCTACCCCTGTTCTAGTCCAACCCCACAGGAGGTCCTATACTGTTATGGACAAATGGCTGCCCAATCTCTTCTTGAAAACCTCCAGCTGTGGAGCACCAACAACTTCTGGAGGTAAACCATTCCACTCATTAATTGTGGAAATTAATCACAAATTAATCATCCCAGAAGTGTTATATGGTCCAGCTCCATAAAAAAAACCCATTGCTACCAAGATTCTCGGTTGATTTTTAGATTCATAGCAGATTTATCTTAATATTACTGGGGCACAGACTCCAGGTCAACGCAAATAAAATATTTCCCCACCATTAAGAGGGAGGAAAAATGGCTGCCAGGGCTGAGGATCTGACAGTCGACACAAATCCTGGCCTTGGGAGAACGGCGTTTTTTCACTGACAATATTCACTGAAATAATTTCACTGAATTGTTTACCTCCTGGAAGAAATTCCATAATCAGGTAAAGGTTGTGTTTGTCCTGAAAACTATAGAACATCTTTACGACCCAGGCACCATCCGCTTCAACCAGGATGTCTCTTTCTGCTCGTATATGAGCCACCTGTGAAGAGGAAGAGGGCAAATCAAATCCAAGCTGAAAGTTAAAAAATGGATCTGCCTCTCCATCAAATTGGTACATAAACAGCTTTCCATGCAATGAAACTTTTTTTTTTAAACAATTTTTATTATTTTTCCATTTTACACCAACAGAAGCTTAAGAACCAGCATGGAGATATGGTGGTCAATTACAAAGAGAAAACAATAACATTATATATATACAATTCACACAATATTTCTTAAAACTTCCCTCTCTATCTATGTAGAAATTATAATCAATTAAATTCAAATAAATTCATTCATTAATATATCTAAATATAATAATAATAAAAATAAATAATAATAATAGTAGTAGTAGTAAAGTTGGAAGGGACCTTGGAGATCATCTAGTCCAATCCCCTGCTCAGGCAGAAAACCCTACACCATTTCGGACAAATGGCTGTCCAGTCTCTTCTTAAAAACTTCCAGTGTTGGAGCATTTACTGCTTCTGGAGGCAGGCTGTTCCACTGATTAATTGTTCTCACTGTCAGGAAGTTTCTCCTTAGTTCTAGGTTGCTTCTCTCCTTGATTAGTTTCCACCCGTTGCTTCTTGTCCTGCCTTCAGGTGCTTTGGAAAATAGCTTGATTCCCTCTTCTTTATGGCAGACCCTGAGATATTGGAATACTGCTATCATGTCCCCCCTTGTCCTTCTCTTCGTTAAACTAGACATAAATTTGCTTAATCAATAAAAACTTTCAACCGCTCAATATCAATATAGTAATCGAATTAATACACTCCTATAGCCAATTCATTCTTTAATATGTTGCTATATATAAATTAAATGCTTAAATCAGAACCAACGCTCTCTATTTAAATTATTGGAATCTCGCAATGAAACTTTTACTGCTGTTAGGTGTAAGGCGGCCTTTCCTAACTCACTGTTCCTCAGTAGAGGTTGGACTATCAGATTGGTCTCCTATCCTCCAAAGCTGGAGATATCTGGCTCTACCGATAGAAGAAGATATTTTTAGCTCAGGGTTGAACTGTGAGGTCCTTGGTGCTCTCTGAGTTTGTTTTCTTGGAAACATTTCACTGAAGTGCAAACCTCCCTCCCTTCTAGCACTGAGGATGTTACCTAGTTGGGTCATGAAGTGTCTACAAGAAAACCGCCAAGCTCAGAGAGCAATAAGGACCCCTCAAATCGTCCTCTTCCTCCTTCTTCCTTCCTTCTTCCCTCCCTCTCTTCTAGCACTGATGATGCTGCACGCCATGCTGAGAGCATCAATGATCCCTCTCCCTCCCTCCCTTACACCATTCTAGCACTGATGATGTTACCTAGTTCGGTCATGAAGTGTCTACAAGAATAGCTCAGAGAGCAGTAAGGACCCCTCAAATCATCCTCTTCAATCTTTGGCTGCCTCCATCTATGTGGACATCTGCAGGCAAATCAATTATGATAGAAGAGAGTATTGTACTAGTTCTCCTTCTCCTTCTCCTCCCCCTCTCCGCATACTCCTCTCTCTTCTAACACTGATGATGTTACCTAGTTGGGCCATGAAACATTTGCAAGAAACCCATCAAGCTCAGAGACCACCAAGGAACCCTCATGTAAACCACGAGCTACAAATATTCTCCACTATCAACAGTGCAAACCCCTCTCCCTTCTAATACTGACAATGTTACCTAGTTGGGTCATGAAACGTCTGCAAGAAAACCACCAAGCTCAGAAAGCATCAAGGCCGACCTCCTCCTCCTCCTCTACAAACCCCTCCTCCTCCTTCCTCCCTCCCTCCCTCCCTCCCTCCTAGCACTGATGATGTTGCCTAGTTTGGTACTGAACCATCTGCAAAAAAAAAACAAAACCCACCAGAGAGCACCAAGGACCCCAGCTTTTCTGGCTATTTCGGACAATTTGGAAGGGTATTTGTGATGGTCAAAGACCTGCTCTGAGTTGGATGTCCTTAGCTGATCCTTGGAGCACGGCTCTTCTGTTTGACTAGTTCTTTTTTCCGTCATTTCGACTCTCAGCGTGCTATTTTGTAAGCCTCCTAGAGCTGTGTTTGGATCAGACGGGCATTCAAATGGTAGTAAACAATTTTTTTTTTTTCCCCCTGCCAGAAAAAGTCAGCAGGAGAGGCGGCAAACATTACAATTTTCCTTCCCCAGAGGGGTAGGTTTCCTGGAAGGCGTTCCAAGAGAATGAGGGAAGCGCCACTTCTCTTGATAACCCTGGAATTTTCGCATCTGGCCTGGTGCTCAAAGTTTACAACGCAGAGTTGGTTTGGCGCCATGTATACCGCCTGTTTCTGGACTTCCACGAAGGAAAAGGGATTGCATTGTCTCCTAAAGGGGTCCTGCTCCCTTTCTTACTCTTGGCTTTTGAAAAACAGGAAAACTTAAAACAACTTTTCCCCAAAGGAATGAGAAAAAAAAATCACATCATTGATGATATGGCTTAAATAATAATAATAATAATAATAATAATAATAATAATAATAATAGTTGGAAGGGACCTTGGAGGTCATCTAGTCCAACCCCCTGCCCAGGCAGGAAACACTATACCATTTCAGACAAAGGGCTGTCCAGTCTCTTCTTAAAAACTTCCAGTGTTGGAGCATTCACCGCTTCTGGAGGCAGGTTGTTCCTTTGGTTAATTGTTCTAATTGTCAGGAAATTTCTCCTTAGAACTAAGTTGCTTCTTTCTTTGGTTAGTTTCCATCCATTGGTTCTTATCCTGCCTTCAGGCATCTTGGAAAATAGCTTGACTCCCTCTTCTTTGGGGCAGCCCCTGAGATATTGGAACACTGCTATCATGTCCCCCCTCGTCCTTCTCTTCATTAAACTAGACATACCCAATTCCAGCAACCTTTCCTTATATATTTTAGCCTCCAGTCCCCTGATCATCTTTGTTGCTCTTCTCTGCACTCTTTCTAGAGTCTCAACATCTTTTTTACATCGTGGTGACCAAAACAGGATGCAGTATTCCAAGTGTGGCCTTACCAAGGCCTTGTAAAGTGGTATTAACACTTCACGTGTTCTTGATTCTATCCCTCTGTTAATGCCGCCCAGCACTGTGTTGGCCTTTTTGGCAGCTGCAGCACACGGCTTGCTCATATTTAAGTGATTGTCCACTAGGATTCCAAGGTCCCTCTCACAGTTACTACTATTGAGCAAGGTACCCCCTATACTATACCTGCACATTTGGTTTTTCTTGCCTAAATGTAGAACCTTAGAGCAGACATGTCAAATACAAGACCCGGGGGCTGCGAAGTGGTTTCATGTGGCCCACGAAGCCATTCTGCAAACAGTGAGGGAACAGGCCCCGCTGCCTTGGCCCTGGCTGGCCGGGAGCCCATGTACAATTTTGTGGTGGCCCTCTATGCTTAAACGCCTTCAGTCTTAGCTCCACAAGGCAGTCTAGAAACAGCGAGGAATCAGCCCCTGCTGCGTTGGCCCCGCCCCCTGGGTGCATGCTGGGAAGGTGTCACCCTTTGTGAGGAATAAAGAAATGGACCATGTCTTGGTGCTTGCCCCGGTCCCACCCCCTTCTGCCAGAGACCCTCAGATCTGTCCCACTCCTGCCCAGGCCCCCACAGGCACCCTTGACGCCAATGATGTAGAGCTGGCCATGCCCACCCAGTAGGCCACACCCACTCCATTCACGCCCACCCAGTAGGCCACACCCACCCTGGCCACACACCCCCGAGGGCAACCGCAATGCTGATGCGGCCCTCAATGAAATTGAGTTTGACACCCCTGGCTTAGAGAGAACAACCTGTGTAGTCAGAATTTATTTATCGTACGACACATTCACGTCTTATTTCAGTAAAAAGGAACCCAGGAATAAAATTCTGCCCCATTTCAGTAAAAAAGGAACACGGGGATAAAATACAAAAACACAGAATATAACATCTGAAATCTTCACAAGAAGGTGACAAATGCCCATCTAAGTTGCAAGTGTTATTTTTTTTTATGTGATTTGTCGCAGACAGGAAAATCAGCGAAATCTTCATTATTAAGCTCTGCTTTGACCTTCTGGGACTATGTGTTGGACTCAAGGAGCCCTCAGCTTACGACCACAATGGCGTTTTGCTCCATTTTACGACCTTCTTGTTAAGTGACTCGTTGCAGTTGTTAAGTTAGTAACACGGTTGTTAAGTGAATCTGGTTTCCCCATTGACTTTGTTTGTCAGAAGGTCGCAAAAGGGGATCACGTGATATTGCAACCGTCATAAGTACATGCCAGTTGCCAAACATCCAAATTTGGTCAGGTGACTATGAGGTCACTCCAACAGTTGTAGGTATGAAAAACAATATAACTCAGTTTTTTCAGTGCTGTTCTTAACTTTGAACGGTCACTAAATGAATTGCCATAAGCCGAGGATGATCTGTGGTTTGTTTTTCGACTCCACAGCGTCTCCAATATCTATCGTAGCCAGTGCAAATTCTGTGCAGTGTTGTCCAAATCACATTGGGCTGGTGAAATCAGTCCTTGGTCAAAACAACTAGTTAACAAATACACATACAATAGTGGCCAAAATTGTGGAAACCTTTTGGGAAAAGTGTATTTTTGAGGTTTGATGGCTAATAACACCACTTTTTTGGGGGGAGTAGTACCATAAAATTATATATCAATGGAAAGATAATTTAATCAAGAATGTAATGCAACAAAGTTTGTTCAATTATCTGTACTGTATTCTATGAAAGGTTATAGCCAAATAACCAGAAAAAGGAAGCACAACTTGCTTAGGTTGATCTCAGGTAGCTTTCCTTCATCTGATTGTAGCCAATGAGCGTGAGTGTTTAGAGAGCCAATCGGGTCTCATCTTGTTCTGGTAAGGAGCCAATCAGATCACAGTAGGATTCAGTGATAGATGTCATGTATTGAAGCTGAGAGGAGGACATTTGTCAGCGTGTTATGTGATGGCTATCAAGTTGGTTGGAGGTTTTTTTGTGTTCTTTCATTGTAAAACGTAATAAAATTAAAGTCATGGTGCAAAGAGTTGACTGGTCACCCAGAAAGCGATGTAAAATAGTATTGTTAAGTAGACAAGGCTACAGTTACAAAGAAATTAGAAGAAAAATGGGTGGAAACTTAACCAAAGATGGCATTTCTACTGTATACTTTTCCCAAAAGGTTTCCACAATTTTGGCCACTACTGTACAATTCACTGCAAAAAAATATATGTCTTTCAGGCACTGGTTTGAATGTGCTTTGGAGTTATATTTGGAAACAAAAAAGTCATACTTGCTCCTTTTCCAGCATGTCAGCTTTTCTCAATATCTTCATGGCGTAAATATGACCCGTGTCTTTTTTCTGAACCAAGCGAACCTAAGGATTTAAAAGGAGGAAACTTTGAACCAGAAACTTGCCAGTTTTGAAGCACTAATTCAAAATGAGCATGAAGTTGTCCCCTCCAGTTGTTCCCAAGCTTAAAGCAAATGTTGGCATCCAAGGCCATTTTTTCCTATCTTTAGGGCCTTCAGTTCCAGAACATCCAGATGTTTCTGTATTTCAAGTTCCCTGCAAGCTCCATCCATCAACAAAGTCATCTTTGAAGACAATTAGCCAAGCCAAATGGAAAGTAGCAGTTAAAGGCCCAATGCAAACCAAGCACCAATCCTTTAGAGGTAAGATCATCTTTATTGTCATTTTTTTATTGTGGGCACATTAAAAATGAAATTCTATTGCCTGCTCTCAAAAGGAAAGTATATATCAGTGGTTCTCAACCTTTTTAATGCCGCAACCCCCAACCGGTCGTAAGTCGAGGACTACTCAACCGGTTGTAAGTCGAGGACTACTCAACTGGTGCAGCACCGTTTGCAGAATGGGACTTTTGGCGGGCTCAGCAGGGCAGAGACAGCCTGGACAATTCCTATTGGCTTTTGAAAGCCAATCGAATTAGACTCTATTCAAGAGAGTCTATTCTATTGGCTTTCAAAAGCCAATAGAATAAAAGGGAGTAGCACTGCTAAGGAAAAGGGGAAAAACAATGGTGGACTGCGTTGTTTGGCGACCCCCGTGAAATGGTCGTTCGACCCCAAATGGGGTCCCGACCCACAGGTTGAGAACCACTGGTATATATTTACCTATAGACATACACAACACGCATTTACACGTGTTATATACATACATACATACATACATACATACGTTCTGCTTCCGATATCATGAAGGAATTCGCTTTATTTATTTATCCATCCAATTTTTATTGGGTCTTGTTCATGCATGGAAGTTGCACTTTGGACTGAGGTGATAGGTAAATCATATAATTAATAGGAAAAATAAATAAGCACACAAACAAAGAAACAACAACAACAACAAAAACCAAGCGAAGCCTACTCTGATATATGACCTTGCCTAGAGAAGCAAAGAGTCCCAGTTAGGTTAAAATCAGAAATCTTTTAAGGCGATGTGACAAAATAAGAGATAACAAAATAACAGAGTTGGAAGGGACCTTAGAGGTCTTCTAGTCCAGCCTCCTGCTCAGGCAGGAGACCCTATACCATTTCAGACAAGTGGCTATCCAGTCTCTTCTTTGAAAAGGAAGACTAATGGGAATTAACCAATATTAATTAATTAACTACCACTCTTCAACATCTGAAGGAAAAGCCATAAAAAAAATAAAATAAAAGATCTGATGGTTTTGTTCTCCTTGAAGAACGGTTGAAGAATTAGGCACGTGTAGGCTAGTGAAAAGAAGGACTAGGGGTGATATGATAGCAGTCTTCCAGTATCTCAGGGGCTGCCCCAAAGAAGAGGGAGTCAAGTTATTTTCCAAAGCACCTGAGGGCAGGACAAGAAGCAACAGATGGAAACTAATCAAGGAGAGAAGCAACCTAGAAATAAGGAGGAATTTCCTGATAGGGAGAACAATTAACCAGTGGAACAACCTACCTCCAGAAGTTGTGGGTGCTCCATCACTGCAAGTTTTTAATAAGAGACTGGATAACCATTTCTCTGAAATGATATAGGGGCTCCTGCCTGAGCAGGGGGTTGGACTAGAAGACCTCAAAGACAGTGGTGGGATTCAAATACTGTATATTCCGGTGTATAAGACGACTTTTGAGAGCGTTGAAACAGCCTCTGAATTCGGGGGTCGTCTTATACGCCGAGTCATGTTATATGCAGGAAATAAGGTAGTTTCTGGCATATAAGATGACTTTCTAGGCATGCGACTCGGCGTCGATCGTCTTATATGCCGGAAATAACGTAGTTTCCGGTGTATAAGACGACTTTCTAGGCATGCGACTTGGCGTCAATCGTCTTGCGACCCGGCGTCAAACTTGGGGGTCGTCTTATATGCCGAGTCGCCCTATACGCCGGAATATACGGTATGTGAAAACCGGTTCTCTGTGTGGATGCCGTTTCCAGAAGTCCATTCTGGGCCTGAGCAACAAAAAATTAGCTCCCGGTTCTGCCGAAGTGATGCGAACTGGCTGAATCCCACCACTGCTCCAAGATCTAACTTTGTCATTCTGTTATTCCTTCATGGAGTTGACTCAGTGTCCTGCCAAGTGGTCATGAAGATATCCCGGAAAATAATTCTTAAGCCCGACGTCCATATCACTAACCTCACCAAAAGCGCCTCTCCCAATCACTTTCAGAGATTCAAAGTCATCCAGGCCTAGCCTTGTCCTCTTCAGCCTCAGAAATTCAGTTTCTTTGCGGGCATGCTGGGATCTTCGGAGCTTTTTCTGAGGGCAACCAAGCATCGTTAAGGATTGCCGTACTTTGAAATTATTTTTAAACCACAAGGTGGCATGATATACTAATTTAATTCAACACGAGGCTTCGGCCTTTTACATCCTCCAGGGCAAAGAGAGAGCTATCTCTTGTCCCGCGCTCTGAACAAAACAAGCCACATTTTACATTGCTATAAAGAAGAAATAATATCGCGTGCAATCAAGCAAGTCCTAACATCGCAATTTAGGAAGAAACACGATAGCATCGCATTAACAGCATTAATAACTACATATAATTTGAAGGAAGTATATATATATATATATCTCCTTGTTTTTCTTATTAAACGTGTGTGTGTGTGTGTGTGTGTGTGTGTAGGTCTTTGGTTATTCGGGTTTTCTCCCATGTCAAATTGGAAGTGTCTTGGCGACGTTTCGACGAAGTCTCATTCGTCTTCTTTAGGCTGGTGTTTTCGGCTTTGTGCTTCTAGGAGTTCCTAGAAGCACAAAGCTGAAAACACCAGCCTGAAGATGACGAATGAGACTTCGTCGAAACATCGCCAAGACACTTCCAATTTGACGCGGGAGAAAACCCGAATAACCTACATACAAACACCCGCGAAAACCTCAGAAAATATAATATAAATAATTCATTCTGTGATCTACGGCTGTAATAGAAAGCTATACACTTGTAAAACTTCTACAAATGGATAAACTGTTAATTGTACAAAAGGAGAATCTAACTTGGTTTAATTCGATTATCATAGGCACTGTTTATAGCTTGTGTATTCCTTGACAGAAGGACTGTTAATATTTTAATTTTTCTGGAAAATACAGGTAGTCCATGACTTGTGATCACTGGTCCCAATCATTGTAAGTTGAGGACTATCTGTGTATACAGAATATGAGGAAGTTATTATTTTGTAAATGTTAACGTCTACATGGCATAAATGTTCAAACTGGGGAGCCCTTATCACTATTTTGTTTATTTACCTACAAAGTATTTATCACACTGCAGTTCCTTTAAAACAGCGGTTCTCAACCTATGGGTCGCGACCCCATTTGGGGTCGATCGACCTCTTTTGTGGGGTCGCCAAACGCGGCGATCCGCCATTTTGTCCCCTCCGGGGGCGCGCCGCGCCTCCGGGGGGGCGGTGCCGCGCACGCGCGCTGCGCGTGGGGGCGGTGCCGTGCCTCCGTGGGGCGCCACTGCACATGCGCGCCGCGCGTGGGGGCGGCGCCGCGCCTCCAGGGGTGGCGTTGCGCATGCGCGCCGCGCGCGGGGGCCCCACCCCCATGCGCGGCCGCACCGCGCATGCGCACAACGTTTGTGTGACGGGGGTCGCCGTCACACAAACGTTGAGAACCGCTGCTTTAAAAGAAAGTGTGTGTGTGTATATCTGAAAATATTCTGATTTATTTATTTTTTTCGCTTGACCTTTCTCCCATTTACTGCTTCCTTCTGTTGACTTTTTCTGGCTGATGTTATTAAAACAAACACACACAAAAATCTGCCTGCAACATGAAATTACTAAGTACTGTACCAATCCCAAACAGACAAAACTATAAAAACTTCCAGCTTTGTGAGTGTCTAAATTACCTCTTCATCTGCTAAGCCTTCTTTCTCCATAGCTACTTCTAGTTTCTTCTGCCTAAGTTGGAGGTACACAAACACACAAAAAAAATAACCCATCACATATTATGAAACAATCCACATTTTTTACATGTCATTGTTTTTTGCATGCCAAAACAACTAGACACAAAGACAGTTTCCCCCCCCCCATCACTCTGCTAAACATGTAATTCCCACAGTATTATCTTATTTATGCCTAAGGATATCTAACCATGCAATAGGACTATATTACTATTATCCTTCTCATCTTTCCTATTACCAACTCCTATTGGTATCTTATGACTTTCACTTTGTTGCTTGTATTTTATGATACATGATTGTATCTTATGATTTAAATCCGGAGACAAATTCCTTGAATGTCCAATCACATTTGGCCAATAAAGAATATTCTAATTTATTTTAGAATTGAAAATAAACGGTTGTTTCACTTCAAATACGGAAACCTGGGTCCAAAGTTTGAGTTACACAACACAAGCCAAGTTAATAATTATGGAGATCCCCATTTAAGGAAAAGAGAGTTAGAGTCTGTCTCATTCCAAAATTCTACCTGTTGCATTATTCAAGTTCTCATCCAGATCTCTTTATTGGTACAATAGTGGCCAAAATTGTGGAAACCTTTTTGGGAAAAGTGTATTTTTGAGGTTTGATGGCTAATAACACAACTTTTTTGGGGAGTAATACCATAAAATTATATATCAATGGAAAGATAATTTAATCAAGAATGTAATGCAACAAAGTTTGTTCAATTATCTGTACTGTATTCTATGAAAAGTGATAGCCAAATAACCAGAAAAAGGAAGCACAACTTGCTTAGGTTGATCTCAGGTAGCTTCCCTTCATCTGATTGTAGCCAATGAGCACGAGTGTTTAGAGAGCCAATCGGGTGTCACCTTGTTTTGGTCATGAGCCAATCACATCACAGTAGGATTCAGTGATTGATGTCATGTATTGAAGCTGAGAGGAGGACATTTGTCAGTGTGTTATGTGAAGGCTATCATGTTGGTTGGGTTTTTTTGTGTTCTTTCATTGAGTGAGCTTGCAAAACGTAACACAATTAAAGTCATGGTGAAAAGAGTTGACTAGTTGCCCAGAAAGCAATTTAAAATACTATTATTAAGTGAAGAAGGCTACAGTTATAAAGAAATTAAAAGAAAAATGGGTGGAAGCTTAACCAAAGGTGGCATTTCTACTGTACACTTTTCCCAAAAGGTTTCCACAATTTTGGCCACTACTGTACTTGAGACGGGGGGTGAGGAAGGGATTTATTTATTTATAACTACAACTTGGCAAAATTTCTCCCAACACCTCCGGGATGCTAAACCAAAACCAAGAAAACGGGAAAGAGAGACATTGTAGGATTCAAGCTTCACATTAAGTCACGGCCCACATCGCTATGATGGATTGAAGGAACGCAAATGGCTGCATCCATTCGACAGTGAAACCGAGCAAACCGTATTGTGGCTTAGTGGAACGTCTGAACCCAGGCATCATAGTCTGTACCGAAGTTTCTCAACTTGGCAACTTTAAGACATGTGGACTTCAACACCCAGAATTCTGGTTTCCTGGTTCCGACAGATGAAACTCTTCAAAGAATTTCGAGGCATTGTTCACCTTAAAGAATCTTTATCTGAGTAGCCTAGCATCGGCACTAACATAATCGAAGCCAAAAATTGAATTCCCCTCCCCTGGGCACATAGTATCAAAGCACAATTCCCTCCCCCCATTAACAGTCATAAATCAGATTCTCCAATTAGTTTGAAATGCAGGCTTCCCCTCCAGTTCTCCAGCCCGCCAGTTCTTGTCATCTCCTATTTCAATAACCTTAGTTCACACACTAGTTACAGTATTGTTATGTCTAACTAAACTCTCATGCACATTCCTCCCCTCAGCATCACTTAACTCTAACTCTAAGAGTAAAACATAAGAAGAAAATGGTTGCTTCTCCATCTGTTGTCCAAGCAAAAACATCCGATGTTAGCAACGTTGACATCTGGATGTTGAAATCCACACGTCTTAAAGTTGCCAAAGTTGAGAAGCACTGATCTGTACATTATGCAGGTAAGCCTCCACTTAACAACAGTTCGTTTAGTAACCTTCCGAAGTTACAACGGCACTGAAAAAATGACTTAGGACCATTTTTCACCCTTACAACCATTGCAGCATCCCCCTGGTCATGTGATTTATATTCGGATGCTTGGCAGCTGACTCACATTTATGACGGTCGCAGTGTCCCTTCCGACCAGCAGTCAAGGGGGAAGCCATATTCACTTAACAGCTGTGTTATTAATTTACAACTGCACGGAATTCACTTGAGAGATGTGGCAAGAGAAGCCGTAAAATGGGGCCAAACTCACTTAACCAATGTCTCACTTAGCAACATAGTTTTTGATGTAAATATAAGGATGGAACATTTTATCATATGTGGTGGCAATGCCCTAAAGCAAGGAAATACTGGGAACAGATAAGAAGATGGCTACAGGAGATAACAGGAGAACAAATTGAATTTAATGCTGAATTATTTCTATTAGGAATAATAAATCAAAAGATAAAGAAGCAACTCCAATATATTATTGTACACATAGTAACAGCAGCACGTATTGTCTATGCTCAATGCTGGAAACTTGAAAATATACCAGCTAATGATATGTTTATTCATAAGATATTAGAATGTGCCGAGATGTATAAACTTACGCTATAAATGAAAGGCAAGGAAGAAACAGAATTTTATGAGGTGTGGGATAAGTGGTATAGTTGGTTAGAACAGAGAAACAAAAATGTATAGTAATAAATGTAAATAACTGTAAGAGATACACGACACAGTACTGTTAAAAAAATGTTTAATGTTTTGTAAATTGGAAAAATGAAAAATAATTTTTTTTTAAAAAAAAAGCAACATAGTTTTTGGGCTCAATAGTGGTCATAAGCTGAGGAACGCCTGTAGCTAAGTGTATCTATCATACCAAGCATTTAATTCAGCTTGATACAAGACCAGAAAAAAAATTTAAGGCATCAGAAAAATAAAATTAAGGTATCTTTTACGTCTTGCTGCAGTTTTCTTCCAAATTTACTTCCAACATATTTGCAAAACATTTTTATCTATAGTTAATTTCTCTGCCAGGGGACACACTATTTAAGGGAATAAACCAATTGCTAACCATATACGTTTTAAAACTATTTTTCTCTATGAAATATTTATTTCTGTAATTTATAGACCTGCTGTAATTTGCAGTCCAAGATCCCAGATAGCTTACAAATCCGGGTAGTCCTCAATGTACGATGATAATTGAGCCCCAAAATTTCTGTTGCTACGTGAGACAACTGTTAAATGCCTTGTTTTACGACCCCTCTTGCCGCAGATGTTAAATGGATCACTGCAGTGATTAAGTTAATAACACAGTTGTTAAGTGGATTTGGCTTCCTCTTTGAATTTGCTTGTGAGAAGGTTGCAAAAAGGAGATCATGTGATTCCGGGACACTGCGACCGTCATAAATATGAGTCAGCTACCAAGCATCTGAATTTTGATCATATGACCCTGGGAGGATGCTGCAACGGTTGTAAATATGAGAAAACGGTCCTAAGTCGCTTTTTTCAGTGCCGTTGTAACTTGAAACGGTCACTAAATGAACCATTGTAAGCCAAGGACTTACCTATAGAAAGAAAGGGGCAACAATGACAAAAATGTAATGGTGTCCAACATAGATAATTGCATCTCGGACAAAAAAGTTTCCATCGCTTGAAAAATATAAGTTTTAAAAAATAAATTTAGGGGGAGAACAACCACTAAGAAGTCCATCAAGAAAACATCAGCTGAGCTTCGGAGGTCTTCTTCATCTTGGATGTTCCTTCACAGGAGCTCTCAACACAGAGAAGACCTTAAAGATCAGGTAGATTAAGTAGAGAAGAGGGCAAATCCTTCTTAATTATAGGTATGAAAACCGGCATTTGGAAGCAGCAGTTGATCATGCAACTTGACTGGATGTGATCACAGATTAAGCTAGATCTGCCGCAGCTTCCAATCGAATTTCGAAGCCAACTCTTCATGCAAAAGGCATTGTGAAAGTCTAAACTGGAGATTGCCAAAGGTGGCCAAATCACCTCCACCCAGATAAGGTTTGCAGCTGGCAAACAAGGTGTAAGATACGCTTTGTCAACAGAAGTGTTTGAAGAGTAACAACGGTAGTGCCCAAGAACAAAATTTGCCTTGGTCTTCTGGTGAAGTAAACACTAAAAGAAAATTAACATTATACACGATTCTCCACAATTAAAAACAAACGGTAAGGACTTTTCTCTATTTGCTGCTTGAGTAAAGTCTCCTTCGACTTGAATTCGTCTCCTCGTAACTTCGCAGACCCATTCCAATACGGGTAGCCCTTGATATATGGCCACAACTGAGCCTAAAATTTCCATTGCTAAGCAAGACAGTTGTTAAGTGACTTTTGCCCCCATTTTATGACCTTTCTTGCTAACAGTGATTAGGTTAGTACAGGGGTAGGCAACCTTGGCTCTTTTATGACTCGTGGACTTCAACTCCCAGAATTCCTCAGCCAGCTTGGCTCAGCATGGAAACCTCTCCCTTCCTCTCAGCGTGGCTGGCTGAGGAATTCTGGGAGTTGAAGTCCACGAGTCATAAAAGAGCCAAGGTTGCCTACCCCTGAGTTAGTAGTACGGGTATTGTCAGAAGGTCGCCAAAGGGGATCACATGACCACGGGACACTGCAACCGTCATAAATAGGAAACAGTGGCCAAGCATCTGAAATTTGATCACGTGACCATGAGGATAGTCGTAAGTATGAAAAAATAGTCCTAAGTCACTTTTTTTTAGTGCCAATGTTAACTTTGAAGAGTCACTAAATGAAATCCAGGCTTATCTGCAGTTTTCTTGGCAACCATACGAAAATGCTCCATCTTTAGAGATTTCCTCCCCTCCCCCCCCTCCAATTTTCCTGGTGGTCTCCTATCCAAGCATTAAGCAGGTCTAACCCAGTTTATTTATTCCTTAGATGCATATTCCATCCTTCTTCCAGTACTTCCTTTTTCCATTTCTCCCTACAACAAGCCTTGAGGCAAATGAAATAAGAAAGAAGGGCTGAAGTCACTTAGTAGTCTTCTGTGGCTGAGGTCTCCTCAGGAGAACTTGTGTCCACCAAACATTTCTCGACCGTCTTAGCAATATACTAGTCAGGGTGCTACATTTTAGGTGCTGCCTACTTGTTCAGCTTATTTTGGGGGGGGGGTTTCCAACTTTTCACATTGTGATGTTGGGTATTCTGCGTTATTATCAACCAGGAGGATTTTGGTGAGGAAAAAGCTGGGGTATAAATAAATAAACGATTGCTCTTGAGTCCCATGGGCAGTGGGTAACCATGGCCTTCAAGAGAACTTCCTTCCAAGTAAGGGTGGAGTCCAAGGAAACCCTTTGGCTGCCTCCATCTATGTGGACATCTGCAGGCAAATCAATTATGATAGAAGAGAGTATTGTACTAGTTCTCCTTCTCCTTCTCCTCCCCCTCTCCGCATACCCCTCTCCCTTCTAACACTGATGATGTTACCTAGTTGGGTCATGAAATGTCTGCAAGGAAACCACCAAGCTCAGAGAGCACCAAGGACCCCTCATGTAAACCATGAGCTACAAATATTCTCCTCTATTAACAGTCCTCCTCTCTGCAAACCTCTCTCCCTTCTAATACTGACAATGTTACCTAGTTGGGTCATGAAACGTCTGCAAGGAAACCACCAAGCTCAGAGAGCACCAAGGACCCCACAGTCCTCATCCTCTTTCTCCTTTTCTCCTTCCCCTCCTCCTCCATTCCACAAACCCCCACTGTCTCCTAGCACTGATGATGTTAGCCAGTTGGGTCATCGAACGTTTGCAAGAAAATAAGCCAAGTTCAGAGAGAGCACCAAGGACTTCACAGTTAAACCTGAGCTACAAATATTCTCTTCCAGCATAATTGATTCGCTTGGAGATGCCCACACAGATGGAGGCGGCCAAACGCTTCCTTGGACTCCATCCTTACTTAGAAGGAAGTTCTCTTGAAGGCCATGGCTACGTTCAGAGAGCACCAAGGAGCCCACCACTCAATTCTGGTTCCCACCAGTCCGTTCTTGTCCCCAACCAAAGGGTGACCCCAACTAGAGAACCCCATGCCACGTCTACACCTCACCAAAGATTTGATTTCAACGCAGGAGGGGTCCTCTAATACCTGGTTTCTCGTTCTTCATGCTGCAAGATGAGGTTGCTATAAAAGTTCTCCAGCGTGAGCTTGGCCACCGTGACTCGCTCGCGGGTGTGGTTGCTCATAGGAAAAGGCGTTGCAGTCCCTGCAGTCATTGCCATAGTAACCTGCATCGAAACAGGGCCCATAAAATAATAATTACTCAACGGAATAAAAATTGTTCCTTGTCTTCTCCTCCTTCTCCTCCCAAATCCAGTGTGGGAATACAGAGTTCCTTCCAAGGTTGTTTGGCAAGGTGACACGTTCTCTGTCACACACCTCTGGCCATCTGAAATGAATAAGCCCAGCTTGAATCATGCAGGAAGCAATGATTTTTTCCTTCTTTTTTGGGGGGGGGGGCGAAACTAAGCAATTTGTGTTCATATTTTCAGCCTAGACCAGGGGTAGGCAACCTTGGCTCTTTTATGACTTGTGGACTTCAACTCCCAGAATTCCTGAGACAGCATGGGGGAATTATGGCCCCTTCATGACTCGTGGACTTCAACTCCCAGAATTCCTGAGCCAGCCATGCTGAGGGAAAGGGAGAGGCTTCCAAACTGAGCCATGCTGGCTCAGGAATTCTGGGAGTAGAAGTCCACCGGTCATAAAAGAGCCAAGGTTGCCTACCCCTGCCCTAGGCCGCTTTATGACTGGTGGACTTCAACTCCCAGAATTCCTGATCCAGCCACATTGAGGGGAAAAGGAGAAGTCTCCAAGCTGAGCCGTGCTGGCTCAGGAATTCTGGGAGTTGAAATTCACGAGTCAGAAAGCGGCCTAGGCCTAGGCCAGAGGTAGGCAACCTTGGCTCTTTTATGACTCGTGGACTTCAACTCCCAGAATTCCTTAGCCAGCCATGCTGAGGGGAAAGGGAGAGGCTTCCAAGCTGAGCCATGCTGGCTCAGGGATTCTGGGAGTTGAAGTCCACCAGTCATAAAAGAGCCAAGGTTGCCTACCCCTGACCTAGACTTCAGACTGCAGCAGCCTTGGGGTCCTGCAGATTAATGCCAAAAAGCCCTCGGACAATTTAGAGATGGTCCTTGACTTACAAAAGTTCATTAAGTGACCGTTTGAAGTTTGAACGGCTCTGAAAAATCCCCACGGTCACATAATCAAAATGCAGACGCTTGGCAACCGACTCATATTTACAACAGCTGCAGCGTCCCGGGGATCACGCAATCAGCTTTTGCAACCAGCTGACCAGCAAAGTAAACGGAGGAGCCAGGCTCACTTAACAACCGGGTTACAAATTTAGCAAGTTCAGCAATTCAGTTAACAACGGTGGTGAGAAAGGTCAACAGAATAAAAATTTAACAACTGCAGTTGTTCAATTACTAACACGGTTGTTAAGTGGATCCGGTTTCTCCATGGACTTGGCTTGTCAGAAGGTCAAAAAAGGGGATCCCCTGGGACACTGTGACCGTCATAAATGCGAGTCGGTTGTCAAGCATCTGAATGTAAATCACATGACCCTGGGGATGCTGCAAAGGTCGTAAGTGTGAAAAATGGTCGTAAGCCACTTTTTTCAGTGCCCCTGTACCTTTGAATCATCACTAAATGAACTGTTGTAAATCTAGGACTACTTGTAAACATCGCTCCCTTCCTTCGATCAATCAACCCACCTTTGGCAGCTAGTTTTGACTTGCTGCTAGCGGGCAAATAGATCTCAACATCATAAACCGAGTTGCTTGCTATTTTATTTTATTTTTTAAAAATCTTGAAACAGAAACAGAAGGGAACATTCAGCTCCCCCCCCCCAAAAAAAATAAAAGCAGCCTGAATATAATGGCCTTGTATTTAAACACCAGCCGTGTAGCCACAGCTGGGAAGTCACGGCATGCAAACAGATTAACAGCCCCATGGAGCACCAAACACATGATCAAAACAGTTGGCCAAAATGAGAAAGTTGTTTTGGAAAAGTCACAACCGGAGGAAAACAATCCTCTATTCTCTCGGCCAGTCCTCTAGCTGGGTTAGGGAATCCCACCATCACCACCCAAGCAGCCCAATTTGCAAAGAAGGGACTATTGATAAAGCTGAAGTTTAAAATGCTTCCCAATTTTATTGGAGAGGAACGAGAAACATAATTTTGAATGAATTCTGGAAGGCTTTCATGGCTGCCTGAAAGGGACTGAATTTCACAAACCGGGCCCTGTTTTTATTTCCAGAGAAAAGACTCTCTGGAGACGAAGCACCTGCAAAAACATGACTCAGATCTTAATTCATAAGAGAGAAAAAAAGGTGATATGAGGAGATAGCGTGCTCTGGAGAAAAGCAATTTAGGGCTTTGGAAACTTGTCCTTTAGTCACGACCCCAATTCTCCTGTCTGTGAAGCGTGAAGTGTGGGCAATCACACAAAACCACACACCCACCGGTCTGCAAAAAAACCTCTCTCCAGAGCCGGTCCCTGGTGTCCAACAGGTAGGGGAACTCTGCACTAGAAACACTATCTCAATGCCAGAAACAGAGGTGACCAAAAAAAATTGAGACTGCATTACAAAGTGCAGGTAACCCACAACTTACAACAGTTCATTTAGTGACCGTTCAAAGTTAGCACACCAACTGAAAATTTAACGAGTGCAGGATTCGCTTAACAACCACGGGATAAAAGGGCGTAAAACAGGGCAAAACCCGCTTTAAAAATGTCCCGTTTAGCAGCGTAAACTTTGAGCTCTGTTCTGGTCATAAGCCGAGGGCTGCCTGTGCCATTCATCACAGTAGATGTCACCAAAAAGCTGAGCAGGGCTAAGTGGCTGAGTTTGCCAGCGTTGGAACTTTGCAACTGCTAGGGCAGAATTAGGCAACCTTGGCTCTTTTATGACTCGTGGACTTCAACTCCCAGAATTCCTGAGCCAGCCACGCTGAGAGGAAAGGGAGAAGTTTCCAAGCTGAGCCATGCTGGCTCAGGAATTCTGGGAGCTGAAGTCCACGAGTCATAAAGCGGCCTACGCCTAGACCAGCGGTAGGCCATCTTGGCTCTTTTATGACTCGTGGACTTCAACTCCCAGAATTCCTGAGCCAGCATGGCTCAGCATGGAAACCTCTCCCTTTCCCCTCAGCATGGCTGGCTCAGGAATTCTGGGAGTTGGTCCACGAGTCATAAAAGAGCCAAGGCTGCCTACCCCTGTGCTAGGGAAAAGCTGCTAGGGAAAATCCCAAACCTTTGCCAGGATTCTACCTTCTTAATGCAGCCATTTGCCACTGCATCTGTTCCAAATGCACAGGTTGTGCTTTCTAACGGAAAAGACAACACAGCTTATTGTTTGGGTTCTCCATCTGCTGTCTGTTTTCTAAAGGTCCCTATCCAAATGCACGAGGATGTTAAATCGAGAAGACGTTAAACCAGAATACAGGTAAGTCCTCAACTTACCACAGTTTGTTTAGCAACCGTTCAAAGTTACAACAGCCACTGAAAAAAGTGACTTAGGACCTTTTTTCAGTTACCACTGTTGAAGGAAAAGTCTTCATCATGGTTCAGTCCAAGCTGGGAATAAACAACATGGCGACTGCTTTAGAAAGAAGGTTGCACTTTATTGAAGAGGAGAGCCAGACAGAAAGATAGCTCTGGTAGAAAAGAGAGAGAGCACATGTAGGGAGTGGGTTTTTATACCCTCTGGGGCTCTTGAGGTTGTTTCCAGTTCCTGTTTGAGGCTTTGTATTTCCTGTGTCATATATTTTTACCTAGGTCCCTTTGGCATCTGTGGGTTAATCCTATTATGTCCTGTCTAAGAGTTTGGGTGGGGTATGTAGATTTTAGGTGTCTTTGTCTTCTTAATCTTCTAGCTGGGGGCCTTCCTGGATTATTTACATCAGCATTTCTACAGAGCTGGTTTCTGCTTGGGGGAGGGAGACTTGGGGCTATTAAGAAAACTGGGCATGCTTTTCTGCCTCTTTAAGATCCTTTGAGGAAATATATTTTTCTGCCCTTTTAATATTTCCTTCTCTGGGGGGCTGACTTTCCACAGTCACGTGATCAAAATTCAGATGCTTGGCAACTGGCATGTACTTATGACAGTCGCAATGTCCCTGGGTCACATGATCCCCTTTTGCGACCTTCTGACAAGCAAAAACAAACAGGGAAGCCAGATTCACTTCACAACCGGGTTACTAATTTAACAACTGCAGTGATTCACTTCGCAACTGAGGCAGGAACGGTCGTAAAAGGGGGCAAAACTCACTCAATAACTCTTGCTTAATGGCAGAAATTTGAGGCTCACTTGTGGTCATGAGTTGAGGGCTGCCTGTTTGTGACCTGAGCATGGACAGAGATAATAATTTGAGGATATTCAGTTGTGTAACCAAGTCTTCAGAGTTGTTGCAGTAAAATGTTATTTTGGGATTGTGTGAATAATCCAGAGAAAGAAATCTTTTGGGCAATATTTAAAAGGCAGAATATATTTCCTCAAAGGAATAATGGAGAAGATCTTTAAAAAAGGCAGAAATGTCTCCACACATCCCCCCCAGCCAGACAACTCAGCAGAAACCAGCTTTTAGAAATGCAGATGTAATAATCCATTCAGGAAGGTTGGAGCCCTCCAACTAGAAGCTGAAGAGACCAGGAAGACAAAGATCCTTAAAATCTACACACCCCATCCAAACTCTAAGACAGGACATAATAGGATTAATCCACCACCATCAGGATACCAGAAAGGCACACTCAGACTCAGATCAAGGTTCATGACACAGAAACAATTCCAAACAAAAGCCCAAGAAGGTATAAAAACCCATTCCCTTCTACATGTGCTCTCCCTCTTTTTTTTTTTCCAGAGTCATCTTTCTGTCTGGCTCTCTTCTTCAATAAACTACAACTTTCTTTCTAAAGCAGTCCCCATGTTTGTTTATTCCCAGCTTGGACTGGATCCTGATGAAGATTTTTCCTTCAACAGTGTGGGGTTTCATGCATCTGAAAAACGGAATTCCTGTTTTTCCTTTTTACATGGACCTCCCTGGACAATTAATGTCAAAGATGGTTTTCCATCTCAAAGCCAGAAAACTGTTCCACAAGTGAAAGTGATCTTCAGAAAACAGCAATCTTTTCCTTCTTGGGGCAATGCAGAATATGAACCATGAATGGAAACAACACAGGCAGGTACAATGATTGACCCAAAACAATGAATCAGACAAAAGAGG